TGGTGGGGGATCAGAGGGAGAGCGGCCGAGGGCCGAGATTCCCCTGCAGGCTGGCGCAGACTGGGAGTGGGTTTTAGAATATGAGGCCCCAGCTCCTCTGTGTCCTCAGGTGGGGACCCTGGGTTCCATGTGAGATGTGCCAAGGGGCCTGGGGAGTGATATACTCTGCCCTGGAGGTCCTGGAGAGAACGGGGAATCTAAAAATAGTGAGGGCCAGTCCTGAATTGCAAGTTTCTATTCCCAGAATAGATGTTCTGCAATAATCCAGTTTCCAAAGTAAAATATTCAAAGGAAAACATTATGTACATCATAGAAATGGAACTTGAGTGACGGAGGTTTTTGAGAGATTTAGAAGGAAAATCTAGGATCAAGACAGCGGTGACAACGTTCTGATAACCACCATAACTAGAGGCTCATAGGCAGGGAGGGGCCTTATCACGGGAGGCCAGGGTACAAAGGCAGGAATCTGGAGGGGCAGTCAGGGCAGCCTGCTTGGAAGAGGCAATTCTAAACTGAAACCTGCAAGGAGACTAGAAGGTGCCCTGGGAGTCCCTGCAGTGACTAGTGTACACTGGGCTGTGCCTACAGAAGGGGCCCTTGCATTGTTGGGGGGCGAGTGGAGGGCGTGGGGATTTCTCTTGGGTTCAGGGTGTATTCCTGGGGTCCCGGTGTTTGATTCTGATCATTTGGGGCAGGAACTACAGCAGCCTGTTTCCCCTGTGGAGTATGAGCTGGCAGGGACCCACCCCCAGGACCAAACCCAGCAGAGGGCACATTTAAATGAACGAATGACAAAAAAGAGGAAATTGATGGAGGAGAAATGGAGAGTTAAATGTGATACTGCGAGAGAGAGGCGCCAGCAAACGCTCCTGCCACCTTCCTCCCCAATCCCTCGGCCAGGGCAGGGTGGCACTTCCCCGGCTGTCCCAGGTGCTACTGGCTGCTCCCCCAGGGCAGGACCCTGCACTTTAGCCGCAGCTAGGAGGGTCAGGACATGTGCCCAGGCCCTGGAGAGTGTGGGACTTCTGAGATCTGTCCCCACCGAGGAAGCCTGGGCCAGGGTCCCTCTGACTACAGTCCCCCAATCCAAGACCTCCTGACACACCTCTGGGTGGCTGATCCCATCACCTGGATCCTGGAGAGACAGGGCCTGCCTCTCAGCCCCTCTCCTCCACTCCCCCCAGAGGCCTCTCTTTATTCCTGAGACTCGAGTTGGATCTTAGCTGCAGGAGAGGCCCAGGAGCCAGTAATGCCCGAGGTCACGTGTCCCCTTGCGCCAGCCTCCTGCGTCCCTCCCTGCTATGGTGGCCCTCTGGGAACTGCCCGGGGGGCTCTCCTCGCCCAGTCAGTATGGGCTGCCACCTGGATGCTGGCTCCAGTGACCCGAGCGCCTGGCTTTGGGCTGGCCGTGGTCAGGCCTGCCCTGTAGGAGGCCCAGGCTCCCCTGGCGGAGGCCGCCCAGACTCATAGGAAAGCAGGTCCTGTGGACACAAAAGCAGGCAGGGCAGTCCCCACCCCACAATGGCCTGGGGACTGTGTGGCTTCCAGAAAGGTCATGGTCCTCATGTCGGAAGCTTGGACAGGCCCAGAGGATTCCAAGGCTGGGAAGCCCTTTCCCTGTGCTTTTGTGGTCTCTGGGGGTGGAGAGATCAGGACCAGGCGCCGCTCTGCCAGCTCCCAGACTGAGCAGAGACACCTGGATTTAATCTCTGGGCTAGACCCACAGGCCACGAGCCCTGCGTGTCCCCTGCCTCCCCAGGCACCCAGCAGGTCCTGCCAGGGCACACCCCACGTGACTCTGGCCGGCTTCTGGCTGTGGAGACCACCACCCACTACAGAGAGGTGACCGGCTCCCCCTCCCCGCCAGCCACACTGCTCCCTGGGGAAGGGCAAGGTGGGAGGGTAGAGGACAGTTTTCAGGACACAGATGGGCCCAAGGGACCGTTCTGTATGCCCCGTGTAGAAGACCATGCCTCTCAAACCCAGGCTCTTCCAGGGCCGAGCTAGAAGGCGGCTGAGCTTGGAGGAAGCCCACTGTTCTGCCTTGTGCCCACTGAAGTGCCCACGTCACTAGGCACTTCAAATCTGGTCCCTTCGTTCCACCCCTCTCTGGTGCCCTCTAGGACTGGAGAAATGGGAGGAAACCAGGGAACAGCCGCCAACCCTCGGTGCCCAGCACGGCTTCTCTGCTTGCTCCTCCTGCTTTCCTGTCCCTCCCTCTTAGGCCACCTCTTGGAGATGGTGCCCCTCACGGTGGGCCAGAGCTGGCCTATTCTGGCTTGTGAGAGCAGACTGCAAGCCGGTTGTTAAACAGCCGTTACTAAAAACGGACTTCGATTAACCCACAATTAAATATTAGAAGCAAAAGTAATAAATACTCAGAATTCACTACTTCCTAATTATTTTGCCAGCTCCTCGCCTTTGAGATTACTCATGCCTGTATCTGGGTGGTGGTGAGGTTATACAGTGGGGTGTGCCGCGCACCCCTTCCCAGCCCATGTCTAGTGACTTTGTAATGGCAGCTTGACATCAGCCACGGCGAGAATATTTACACCACAGAAACGGGCCAATGTCAATCCAGGGCGCAGTTAATGCTTTTGCATCTCTAGACTTGAGAGTAAACGGAAAAAATGTTAGATTTAAAAGTGTGTCGGGCGGGCACTTTGGTGAGTTCTGTTTTAATCTTAGATTAACGCATTCTCCATGTGAGGCCATCACGGTGGGAATAGCATGAAAAGCTGAGGAGGTTCATCCCACATTCATAGGCTGATTCAGCAAGGTCACGCAGATCATCAGCCCATGACGTCTGACACAGGCCTCTGAGCTGTCCCCCTCATCTGGCTAACACAGAAAACACCAACCAGCATTCCTTCATGTTGGAGCCCCAGTCACGTCAGAAGCATCTGGAGGTTGTCTACAAGTATACAAAGGCAAAATCCAAGATCTGGGGGGCTGGGGATGGAGCTCAGTTGGTAGAGGGCTTCCCCTGCATGAGCAAGGCCCTGGGTTCAATCCCCAGCACCACACACACACACACACGCTCGCCAAAAGAAAAGAAAAGAAAATCCCCGAGCTGGGACTCCCCCCTGCCACTGGACCCCAGGGTGCTGCCCATGGGACTGCCCATGGTTGATGGTCACATGGATAGGACACAGGAAGAGTGAGCAGGGGCCAACATCCTCTGGATGTTTACTGGGGCAGGCGAGAGGTGGGCTGGGTGTGAGTTGGGTGTGGGACATCTGAGGTGCGTTTGGGACATTCAGGTTGGACACGTGGATCTGCAGCCTTCTGGAAATAGCTGGTAATTAGAACCGTGTGTGTGCAGGAGCTTGTCGGGGACAGGGAGTGACGAGCAGGCAGGGTGTGCCTGAGGTGAGCCGCTCTGAGGACCGGGTCTGCAGAGGCCTGGGTGTGGCTGCCAAGGGAGGGAACTGCTCCAGAAAGGCCACCGACTGAGGAGCACCTGGGGATTGGTGACACGGGTGACCTTAGCAGGAGCCCTCTCCCTGAGCACACAAGAATGGAAGACGGCAGCTGACGCACAGAGTCCTGGGGCTCACTTCCTGCTTGATGTAGGACGGTTGGGGTCCGGACCTTTCCTTGCTGACCTCCCCGAACTGCCACCAGAGAAAGCCAGGCTGACGGGTTAAGGTCAGTCCCAGGGTCGGAGGTCATGACCTGGGACAAAAACAGTTGGCAGGTTCCAGACAAATCCCTGGGTCCAGGATGGGACAGGTTGTGTCAAAGAATGAGGGACCATGGGGGTGGGCGTTAGCTGAGGAAGCCAGTAGCCAGGCGGGTAGTGACTTCAGGCCTCAAGTTCAGGAGAGGCCCAGGCTGGAGGCCAACACCTGCTGGTGTCCCATGGGGTACGTGGAAGAGAAGCCGAGGGAGGACCCGGGGCCCTGCGCAAGCCGTGGACAGTGGCAGCTGGAAAGAGGTAGCAGATGAGGGCGGCAAGCAGCTGAGAGGGTGAAAGCCGTGCAGAAGACGGGCTGTGACCATCAAGCTGGGACTGCATCAAGCAGACTGGGGTGTCAAACCTGCAAAGGCCACAGAATGAAGACCGAAGTGGCTACGGCTTAGACTGGTTGGAAGGAGCACGACTGGCGGTCCCCACCAAGAGGCCAGATATGGGGACAGATTGCAGAACCCTGGGGGTGGGGGGGAGGCAGGAGATCCTTCCCAAGTCGAGGCTGGTGAAGCAGGAAGGACCAGGAGACAACAGTGGGACAGAAAAACCATGAAAGGATCTGGTCATGTGTGGCTATCTCCAGTGTCTTCTCCCTTCTCCTTTTCATTATCCACCACACCTGAGGCCCTCCAGGTCCAAATCCCAGACCCAGCACTTAAGAGCTGAGTGGCCTCGGGAAGGTCACAAAGGCACCACTTCCAGCCGAGCTCCCTGTCAAAACGGGACTCGGTTTTCGCTGACACGGGGTGGGGGTGTGGTTACTGTACAGCAGATGTGCGCTTCACATTCGTCTGGTCCCTGGAGCAGCAGCCCCAAAGTAGCTATGAATCCCCTGGTCCAGGGGGCAGCCCCGGGACCCAAGCAGGGAGTCCGAGCTGTGCAGCCTGCTGGACGCTCGGATGGTACCAACAACACGTGGCGAAGAGACCAGGACTCGCTTCTGTTCTGTTCTGCTTTATTACAACCCTGTCCTGTGTTCCAGAATGATGGCTCTTTAACACGCCACCCGAAACATTCCCACAGTGGATCCTGTTAACATTCAAAAGTCTCCCCATTTCTTTCTCAGCACATTAAATCAAAAGGGGGGAAAATCTTTTTAAAAAGTCAATAGGTTTAGCCCATCCCAGGAAAAGCACCTTTACAATAGGAAAACTAAACGCCTCAGGAATCTGACCAAATACACAAAGCAGCAGGTACGATTCCTGAAGGAATGACTCCCAAAGGAACATAAATAGATCCCCCAAAGTATATATATTTCACGAGTGTGTACATATATATTAAAAGAAATTTGGTTTTTCATCCCCCCCCCTCAATTATCCGGAAATCAACATCCCACCTGAGATGGGGGAAGCCGGGTGCTGCAGCCATACCACAAGCCAAGCAGGCACCTCTGTGCACAGGCCTCCCCCGCCCTACGCTCGCTCCTGGGACAGGGCCGGGGCATCTCTGCACCCATGGCCCAGGCCCAGCAGATCCAGTGTTTGTAGAAATTGAGCTAGGAAGGCTGGTCCCTGGGTGGCCTGGGGACCCCAGAACCAACTGGAGGAGAGAACAAATGCCCAGGCCTCGCAGACCTGAGGGCATGGCCCTGGGGCAAAGGAAATCCAGGTCCTTGTACTTGACCTGTCTGGGCTGTTCCCAGGATCCAATGGCCTTGGGGAGTCGTTTCCAGACCCACCAGGGTTGAGCCTGTGAGCCTGCTGTGTGTGTGCACGCGCACATGTGCATTTTTTTAACGGAAGTCAATGGTTTGCACACGAGTGTTCTACCAGGGTCCACTCAAATAGTGTCTGCTCTGGGCCAGGTCGGATTTGTCACTGCTTTCTAAGTGGCCCCCATGCTAAGTGGATCTGTTCCAAAGCCACCAGCAGCCGGCAGGAAGCTCCAGGTATAGAAGACGCGTTACACACCTGGCGGTCATCCCCTTGGGGCTTGGCACAGTGTTCAGGAAACAAACGGGACCATGGCGTGGGGACCCCTTCCTCCTCACCCTCTCCCAGCACCGCAGGCACCAGGAGAAGGGCCTCGGATCAGAAGGCGTCTCAGCAGTCTGAGGTTCGGGAGCTGCTGGCCCCCCAGACCAGTCACACGCAGCCGTACTCATACCACACCGTCTGTGGGTCCCCACCCGGCTCTGGGGACGCCGGTGCGCTCCTGGAGCTGCCCCCTCGACTGAGGTCTTCGGGGCCCCTGCTGCCGTGAGGAGCCGAGTCAGGGGACCTCCCAGGGCTCTTGGCTGGGAGCCCCTCATTATAGCCCTGCCCTGGAACCCCATCTCCCTCTGAGCCGCTGAGCCCTGCCCGGACAGGGGCGATGGTGGCCACCTCCCCTGAATGTGGGGACATTTTGGGCTTGGTCCTGGCGGTTGGGGTGGCAACAGGTGAGAAGTGCTGCAGCTGGGAGCTACTGCCACTGCCACCTCCCATGGCAATGGCTGGCGCTGTGGCGGACTGCTGCAGGGGCGCCAGCTTCTCCTCCTTTGGAGGAGCCAGTGAGAAGCGCCTCATGTCCAGTGGCCGGCTACGGGGGCCTGAGACCTGCAGTGGGGTCCGCTCCCGCGCCAGGCTGTGGGAGCTGGGGGGTGCAGGGCTGTGCAGGCTGTGGCTGCCTGTCTCTCTGCCCCCTGAGGCCTCGAGACCTCCCGCCTTCTGAGGGGACTCTGGCTTGCAGGCCTCTGGCCCGCTGGCCCGCAGAAGGTCAGCTGAGGCCAAGCTGAAGGCACGGCTCAGGGACGCACTCCGGCTGGCAGATGTGTGGGAGGTGCAGGACGCGGCGGCCTGCCGGGGTCTGCCCAGGGACAGGCTCTGGGGAGGCTGGGCCTGTCTGGGGGGTGTACTGGACGGGGCTTCCGCCTCAGCTGGCCTGAAGTTTGGCTTCATGTAATGTCCAGGCTTCGGCTGCTTCCCCTCGGGGGTGCCAATGGCCATCTTGATTGGGGCCACATGGCTGACGGGCATCTTGGCCCCTTCCTTCCTGGCAGGTGGTCCCGGCAGGCTTCTGATGGCCACAAAATTATTGGCTGTTCGGAAGTAGTCTCTCAGCAGGAGGTCATCCGGGTAACCGGGAGGAGCGTCCTGCAGAGGAGAAAGGCGTGGAGAGGTGGGATGGGGGCCGCTGGGTCCTCAGAGCCACTCAGCAGGAACGAGGTCTCCCACTCAGGCTGGGCTTCCTCAGGACCCGCTCCCAGAAAGGGTCAGGACCGTCAGGCAATGGGGCATCCCTGGGCAAAGAACCCCAGAGGCTCCAGGCAGCCCCAGCCTTGCAGATAAGAATGCTGATCCAGAGGAGAGGAGGACCTCGCGCACAGCCAGCCCACCCTGTGGTGGGTGCCAGAGCCCCACCAGCGCTGCTCCCATCTGTCTCCTTTCTCTGCCCTGCAGAGTAGGTGCTGGGTGGGGGGAGTGTGACGGAATTCCCTGTCACTCCAGCAGGCCTAGAGATGTCACAAGGACATTCCTCGGGCTGAGAAAGGGAGACGGGGAGACAGAGGGGGCAGGAGGAGGCCAGAGGGGAGAGCCAGGCTGCCCAGGCAGGAAGGTACACAGGACAGCCCAGCCTGAGGCTGCCCATTAACCCGCTGCCCAGGCAGACAGAGCAGCTGCCACCCGGGCTTGGCCTCCTTTGCCACCGTTTAGCAGGCAGAGCCCCTGGAGGCAGAGGGCTGTGACTCTGGGTCACTGCAGCCTTCTGCCCACTCCTCTCAGCCTGGCACAAGCAGCCAAGTAAGGTTTGCCCGGAGGCTGGTAGACGCAGGAAGAGGAGGAAGGGGACATGAGGGTCAGCACTGGCCTGCTGTGCCAATCTGGAGGCAGGTCAGCAGCTCAGGAGCCACCTGCACCTGCCAACAACCCCCGCCCCATGAAAACACCTGCCACACAGCCAGACAGCGATGTGCTCCGCCATGTTATGCCACAGGTCCTGGGTGCGTGTCCAGTGAGACCTGCTTATTAATATCCTAAGGTGCCATGTATCACCCACGGTGGCCAGCGCTGTTCTGGGAGCTGCGTGTGTATCTGCCAAAACGCTCACTGCATTCTCTGCAGCCTGGCAGGGCCGCGCAGTGTGTACTGGGCCACCTGCGGCTGGCCAGGCAGTGGCGGTGGAGGTCAGCACTGCGCAGCCAGAGCGCGGCTGGCCGGGGGTGCAGGGCCTCTCCCCACCCCTGCCACTCCTCTCTGCGAGCGCTGCTCTCCTTAGAGGTGGACTCGTGATAACTGCGCGTTCTCGGGGACAGTGTGATAATTCAGGACATATCCAACGTGTGACTCAAACCAGGGAGGTGCACGTTTTCACCTCCTCATCCGCTATTGTGTTTGGAGCCCTCAAACTCCTCTCCTAGGTCTTCACACACTCTGCAGTCACCCTTGGGTGCTGGGGAGCATGAGGACCGACTCCTCTCATCTCTTTGGCTCTTGTCACCTGCTGTCTGGCCGCCCTCTGGTGCCCGCCAGCATTTACTTTTCTAGTCTCTTCCACAATCCAGCCTTCACAGCTTCCACAAATAAGCAAGAACACGCAGCACGTGTCTGTGTTGTCACGCTTCTGAGTGTGACACCACCTTCAGGAGACCACGCTCACCGGCCCCCCCAGGGAGCCTCATCCTGAGGCACCTGCTCTCATCATCAGTGACACTCGGGGAGCAGAGGCAGGGTGGAGTCCCTTTCCGTGACTTCTCCAGGTGGGGAGGCCGATGTCTGCACAGGGCCCTGCTTGTGGAGGGCCAAGCATCAGACTCTAACAGAAGCTGCTGCAGGGAGACTGTGCCGTCTCCTTTAAGCTGAAAAGGGACAGGTGCTACCACAGAGCATGGGGACTGGTCTGAGCTGATCAGAGGGAGCTCAGAACCCCCCAAGATTTGCAAAGGGAAGGAAGCATGGCAGGACGGGACAAAGGATCGGGGCTCTCTGGGCCGCTCTTATTCAACCCGCCAGGCTGGCGTGCTCACAAGGTGGGACCCGGACAGCAGCAGAGCATCATCAACAATTTACTAAGGACACACATCTTCGGTGCTACCTCAGACTGACAGAAACCCAGGGGCTGGCCTGTGTCTGGCAGGCCCACCGTGCAGTTCCGAGGCACACTCCTGCCTGAGGATCACCCCACGGACTGTGGGCCCCAAAGGCAGGGATGCTGTCTTAGCTTGGTCTCTGGCTCCTTGCAGACTGAGCCCTTGGTAGACAGAAACAGGAGCAAAGGGAGAACAGGGATCGTGTCTTTCGCCTCCAGTCTCTGCCTCCTGCAAGGAGAGGCACTGAGCAGGTGGACACTGCCAGCTGCCGGGAGCTGGCTGGCTTTGCTTCAAGGGCAGGCACCATGCATGCTGCCCCGCACACAGCAGGTGCTCAATAAACACCCGCCAGGCAAACGTTTATGTTCCCTGTGCTACTGGGCCATGTTCACCTAGATCAGAGAGCTAGACACAGCCCAATTAGGTGGAAAGACTGAAATACTAAGTCTTCAGCAGGTCTCCATGACAAGACAGGGTATTCTTTCACTCAGTAACCCAGGTGCTCTTCTAGGGCTGATCACGTTACTGAGTTCAGACAGAGCACATCCAACACGCAAAAGCTACATGCAGGGACGCTGGAAAGGTGACAGAGAAGGGTCTGTCTGCAAGTGGAGTTGAGGAGGAGCACCAGTACGGGGGTCAGCACCTGGAGCCACATGCCCAAGTCAGCTTGCCTATCATTTTCATGCAGCCCGTGAGCCGAGAACAGTTTTTACGTTTCTAAATGATTGAACAAAAATATTAAGGAGAAAGTTAGCTAGGACTGCAAGTTCATAGCCACCTCCAGCAATTTGGTGAGGCCCTGTCTCAAAAAATAAAAAAATTATAAAGGGCTGGGGATGAAGCTCAGTGGTAGAGCACCCAGTACTGCTCTTAAAAAAAAAGGAAAGGAAGAAAAGTCATTTTATAATGAGAAAATCATATGAAATTCCAAATGCAGTGTCCTTAAGACAAGTTCTGTCTGATGGCAGGCCTAGTCACCGACACTGGCCAGTGTCTACTTCTCTATGGTGACAGAGCTGAGTGGCTGCAACTGAACTAGGTGACCCAGAAAGTCTAAAGTATTTACCCTCTGCCACCTGCTTCTGGGGACGCAGGTAAGCAGGTGCTCGGAGCCATGCCATGACCCCTGGCAGGACGTCCTGACCAGCAACGGGGTGCTGGCCCCAGGCTGTGAGCCCACTTCAAGCCTGGAGGAAAGCAGCACCTGCTGTCTGGGGCCCGTAGGCAGCTCCTAGTGACCCGCCGGCTCCTGCCACCGCCAGGCCAGTCCTGCATAAGGCCTTACACCCCCCATGCCCCCATCCTGAGCGAGTGAGGGGCAGCCCCGGCCACCTACAGCCCTGCCTGGCACTCACGTGGCTTGGGGAGCTGCGGTTGCTCTCCTCCAAGAATTCCTCCAAGGTGACCATCTCGCTGCTCGGGGAGGCCGAGCAGGGCCGCATTCCGGTGTGTGTGGGGGCTGTGCCCCTCTTCTGGGCACCTTCCTGGGGGAGAGGTCCGTTCCGGGGCGGGGGGTTCTCGTGACGACCAAGGGCACTGCGTCCTGGAGCACCAGCCTCTGGGGGCAGCGTGGCCGGGTCCCTACTGGGGATCAGGTCTTCACTGCTGAAGCTCTCGGACCGGCCATGGAGCTGGTCGGAGGAACCTGGGCAGGGGACAGAGGAGCACATGTCAGTCCCAGCTGGCACCGTGCTTCCTCTGGCTCACTTAAAACCCATGAGGAAACCCTGCCCAAGCCAGGTATGGTGGCAGCACACCTGTAATCCCAGTGGCTCAGGAGGCTGAGGCAGGAGGATCCAGAGTTCAAAGCCAGCCTCAGCAACTTAGTAAGGCCCTAAGCAACTCAGCAAGACCCTGTCTCAAAATAAAATGTAAAAAATATAAAAAAGAGCCCTGTGGCTCAGGAGTTGAGTACTGCTGGGTTTAATACCCAGTACCAAGAAGAAAAAAACAAAGTTTAAATTAAAAAAAATCATATACATACATATATGTACGTATGTGTATATTTTTTAATTCCATCTCCTGGGACTACTGACAGTCTCCTTTCTGAGTGTCAACTGTACACTACAATCAACCCAGTGCAAAAATATCAAACACTTCACAAATTTGCATGTTGTCCTTGTAGAGGGCCACGTAACCTCCTGGCAGAAGCAGCCATCAAACTCTGAATTCCTAATACCCACAATACTCGCTGGCTGTCATGCACTCACATGTTAAAAGTTCATTACCCCCCACCCCAGGTGCTCTTCTAGGGCTGATCATGTAGAAGCTAAGAAGAAAAATGTCTTGGTAAGAGGTGTGGTCTTGAAGGAAAGAGGGGCACCCATCCCGTCTCCCTGAGGGGACTTGCCCATGTCCATGGAGCAGGTCAGAGGGAGGAGGACCTGAATCCAAACCTACTCAAACTTTCTAGCCTGTGCTAGAAACTGCATTTTGTGGCCATGAACACATAACGACGTGCCCGAAAGCCCCGCTAGCTGCGGACCGTAAGAATGTCAGGAGCCGGAGACACCCATCGACACCGACGCCCGCAGGCGCTCGGCAGGCAGGGCCTTACCTTTGAGGCTCGGAGGTGAGCTGTTGCTGGATGTGTTCCTGCTGCTCTCCAAGCTGCCTGGTCGTGACGCTGAGGGAAAGAGCAGTGCTCAGCATGAAGGGCCGAGGGCCAGAGGGACCCAAGGCCAGCCACCTCACGTGAGAAGAATGTGCAACCAAAGCTCAGCCCGGGCCCTCAGGAAGAACTCTGGGCACTCCGTCTGCACCCGCAGAAGCTTAGCTTCACCCACAGAGCGCAAGGCGCCACACAGCCATGGAGAGAGACAGCTTTGACACCCCGCCTTTACCCCGTCTAGGGCTGCAGTTTGGAATGGCAGTGATGACTGAGGAAATTCACAGAGCCCCAGTCTAGAAACAGAACAAGCAAGGGCTGCGCGGGGCTGCTGGGTCACATGTGTGACAGCGTGTCCCTGCAGGTGACAAACGGGGTGAGGGTGCTGGGACCGCAGGATGAAAAGGAGCAATCTGTCCTCCTGGGTGGGGGCTATTCCTTGGTGTCCCTGCCCCCGATTTACATGTCCCAGAGGGGAAATTGAGACTGATGTGACAAGCGTGGAGGCAGCCGGCCCCCTGGTGGCTATGGCGCTGCCCTGCTGCAGACCCGCAGGAAGGCCGGCTCCATCCCTGCGGAGGGCGAGCCACCCCCCAGGGCCTGCTGACTTCTCCCGCCAGGCTCTCCCAGCAGCCTGCCCTGTATCAGAATATCGCATGAGAAGACACCTCTTCCACCGGACTCAACCCCTGGGGGGACAGGGACAGTGTTTCTGTCATCTCTGCAACCCCTCAGCACACAGCAGATGCTAAGCTGACCTGGGCAGGAGGCCCGTGCTTGTGGTCCCCACAGAGTCTGCTCTGGTTTCCTGGGTCTACAGGGCTCCCAGTTCCCAAGTACTGAGGAGCCCAGCAGGCATCTGGGAGGGACCCGAGAGCACATGGCATCCGGGCCAGAAAGACTGTTCAGGAATAGCAAACAGCAAAGTCAATCCCCTCTGGGGAGGGAAAATCTGAAATAAACAAATACACGTGTCTTTAAAAAGGCGGGGCGTTTTGCTAGAGAAACAGAAACCAACCAGCTGGGCACGCACTGTGGTTTACTCAAGTGCGCCGCCAACCCCTCCTGTCCTGAAGACAGGAGCCGGTGCTCAGCCACCAGTCACAAGTCTGGGTACTGGGGGAGATGTCCTGCTGTACGGTCCCCACCTGGTGTGAAGGCAGAGGGCTCCAGGGACCAGGTCTGCTCACAGGAGACACAAGGTCTCCCTGGTGTGTGCTGCAGCCGCAGCATAGGTGTTAGGGTAGGGTGGGGTGCCGTGCGCCCTGGGTGCAAGAGGCAAGTGAATGCCCGTGAACTAACTTACTGAGCGTATTTTTTTTTTTTAAGGATCATTTCCCCACTCTTGCAAAGTTGCTTTTCAAAAACTGAGGCCTGCAGTTAGAATGGCGATCATGGGGAATCACTCCTGGCGGGAGGGGAGTCACCCTCTGGCACTCTCAGTGGGATGGGTGCTCTGGAGAGCCGTGGGGAGCTTCCTCCAGGACTAGAAATGGAGCTACCGTCTGACCCAACTACAGTGTCGCCTGCGTACCAATGCTTCTGCAGGCGATTCACAATAGCCAAGTTATGGAACCAGCCTGGTGCCCGTCAGCAGACAGCTGGATGAAGAAATACGGCGTGGGGCTGGGGTGGCCCTAGCATGTGCAAGACATTGGGTTCAATTCTCAGCACCACATAAAATTAAAAAAAGAAAATACGGCGTGTATACACGGTGGCGTTCTACTGAGCCACAGTGAAAAATGAAATTGCCATTTGCTGGTGAAGAGATGGACCTGGAAATCATCGTGTTAAGTAAAATAAGCCTTGACTCAGGTCAAGGGTCAAATGTTTTCTCTCATATCTGAAAGGCAGAGAGAGAAAAGATAAAAATAAAAGAAGGGATCTCTAGAAAACAGAAGGGAGACCAGTAGACTAGAGGAAGGGGATCAAGAGGGAGGACTGAGGAAAGAAGGCTACCAGGTTATTCTATGTCCACGTGTGAACACACCATGAATCCCACTTAGTAATTATAACTAACAGTAACAGAAGGGAGACCAGAGCCAGGTGATGGGGGAGGAGAGCGGAGAGGGGAGGGGGAGGAAGGGTCCTGGGGAAGGAGACTGACCAAATCACCTGCATGTATAACTTCAGCACAATGAATCTATCATGTAGATTATAATGCACCAACCAACAAATAGAAGAAAGAAGAAAATCCCTAAATAAAGAGTCCATGCTAAATAAAAGGCTTGAGAACTTGGTGTGTGGCACTTGCTTAGCATGCCCGAGGGAGCCCTGGCTTCCATCCCCAGCACTGGGGGCAGGAGAAAACACTCAGAAATGAGCCAAGCAGCTCGTCAATCGGAGAAGCCTGGGATCACCTGCTGAGTGATCCTGATTCCTGAGAAACGCGAACCATCCTCAACCACAGGACACGTCCGCCAACGGCTTCTAGGACTTACTACAACTTGGAGCACCCCGGGCACGGAAAGCCCAAGCGAGGACAGAGAGGCCTTCCCGAATGGACACTCTGGGCGCCACCACCAGAACCTTCTGCCACACCTGCAGGGAGCATCAGCACCCTGAGAGCTGGCACGTCAAGAAGGCGGTGCCGTCCCCATGGCTGGACAAGTGTGAGCACAGCTCAGGCCCCTGGCAGGGCAGAGGACGGGAGCCCGGAAGACATGGTACCAGGAGCTGACCACAGCGTCAGGGGGAGGCTGGTTCCTGGAGAGTAAGCCCCATCCCACTCCACTGTCACCTCTCTACACGCTGATGCCACCTGACTTAGTGTGAAGGAAAAGTCTGACTGACAGAAACCTCAGAACCCACACTGACGGGCTCTGGCCGCGGTCACTCACCATGCTGCCTGGGCTGGGTGCACTGGAGCTCCGGAGGTGGGTCGCAGAGGTTGTCATCTGAATTACAGCCTGAAAAACACAGCTGGTGAGTTGGGGTTCAGAATGCCCACCAGCCACAGGCAAGCCCCGGGCCTCTGCTGGAGGGCCAGCTCTGACCTCTATCTGGCACCTGGGTCGTGGCTATGTCCAGGGAGGAGGCGGGGAGGGTGGACTGTGCCTTGGGCCCTGCCTCTTCTAGCCCTCCCCTTATTTCTCCAGCCAGGAAGAGGAGACACTGACATCCTGGCTCCTGTCCAATATTAACTTAGATCAAACTTCTGCCTGGGAAACGCCTGGGACCCCCAAACAAAAGGGGGGCTCTGGCCTAAGAACATGGTAACAGGAGCTGCCCACATCTGAGGGGAGGGACGGGTTCCCTGGAGGGTGAGGGCTCCTTGCACACACAGCACCTAACCAGATCCAGACCCAGGAACCGACCAGCCAGCAACCACAACTGGTCCCTGAGGACAGTGAGATGCTCGAGGCTTCAAGCCTGCTCGTTTCTGAGAAGAGTCTGGGCCCCCTCCCAAACAATGAGAGGGTGTCCATTTTGAAAACAGTTACATGCCCACTGGCATCCTATGTCCAGAGTGTGAGGGTCCCTTCGATGCAGGGCCCTGTCTATGTTGCTTTTTGTTTACTGAACTACGGTTGTGCATGCCCAAGGCTTAAAGAGCTGTGTGACTGTTATTATTATTAAAAACTACCCTCCTAAGGCTGGGGATGTGGCTCAAGTGGTAGAGCGCTTGCCTAGCAGGCATGAGGCACTGGGTTTGATTCTCAGCACCACATAGAAACAAAATAAAAATACTGTGTTCACCTAAAGCTAAAAAAATAAAGACCTTAAAAAAAAAAGAAAAGAAAAACTATCTTCTTGCTCTCAGACTTCCAATCCCCCAGAAGCAATCACACTCAACTCCTTTAGCTATCTCTTTCGATATTTTCACCTCTTATAAGGATGTCTTTTTCAGTCTTAGACATTATCTTTTCTTTCCTGTTTGCATATTTTAAATTTTCTGATGCCTTTTCCCTCCCTGACTGCTCTTTTTCACAGCCTCCTGTTCTTGTTTCATGACGTGGTAACTTCTCTTATCTATGACTCTACCGATGCCAGGCATTTTAAAGTTGTCATCTCTGTGCTTCATGGCACTCCAGTTGCCTTTGGCACTGGTTTTGTTCTGTTTGGAGTTACAGGCTCTCCTCAGGTGTTCAGGGCATCCTTGAGCTTCCAGGAGCTTCACCTGGCAAGACTCGACTGAGTCATTTGGCTGGGAATCGTTCCAGCTGATGAGATTACTCTGCTCATTTTACTCTCACATCTGAATGTAAACACACACACAGCCAACAGCATCCTGGGAGGGAGTACAGCTGTAACCCTTCCCTGGCCGCACCACTGCTTTTAGTGTGGGGCACTTGCTCTCGACTGCGTCAAGAGACTTGCAGGGCAGAGCACCTCTCATTCAACCTCTCGAGAAAACACCTTCAGACTCATCACACTGGAGGAGCAGTAGCTGCCCGATTTCTGTCCAAACCCTGCTCAGCTCTACTTCATCTCTCTTCCAGAGCCACATGGTGCCCAGGGCCTGAACACTGGAAGCTTTCGACCCCTGGGCCTCCTGATGGTTGTTTGTCCAGTCACTGGGCTGTGAGTAGGACAGAGCCTCTGACACCGTCTCCTCTGCTCACACCTTTCGGAGCCCCTCCTGTCTCTAGGCCAGGGTGTGAAGGCCCTGGGCCCCATGTCACCCTCGGGAGGGCCCACACTCACCTTTGGTGCGGCCTGGGTGCCAGGGGGTGGGAGCGGAGCTGGAAGGGGCTGCCGTGATGGCTGAGGCCGAGCAGGTCCGGGAGCCCAGCTCGGACGGCCAGGACTTCATGGCTGGGTCGGTGGAGGCTTCTGTGTGGTCAAGGCTGCCTCCGTGTGGGGACCCTCGCTTTGGTTTTAGATCCCCAGGGCCTTGAGCAGAAGAGGACATTGAGAAATGAGACCACAAAGCCCGTGCTAAGGCTGGGAAAGCACACTGAGGCCCGAAGCAGGCGCAGCAGGGCACGAGGACCACAGAGACACAAGCTGGGCACCACCCCTCCCAGCTACTCTGGGCCTGCTGGGGACTCCACCAGGCCAGCGCTGGCTCTAGGTCGGCCAGGCCAGAAGGCTGGAGAAACAGGGCACACTCAAGAGCAAATGCTGGCGGAGTCCAGAGTGGTAGCTCAGGGCACACGTCTCCAGCCCCAGCTCCCCTCTGCTGAGGACCACTCTGGCCTGCAGCCAAAGCACAGGGACCCTTAGAATTTCACAAAGAAGTCTACCGCCAACCTCAGTCGTCTGTCTCCTGAAAAGAGCAGCCCTGAGCTCCCCGTGGTGAGGCAGACACGAGGAGACGCTCACCTCGTGTCTCGTATTTTCAGCACTATTAACTTTTCTACCATGAACATATGCTCTTGTCAAAATTAAATATAATCATGCACTGGAATGTTTAAAACAAAACAAAAACGAAGTGGGAGGGGGTGGGCGGTCCAGGTAGAGGGGAACACTCATGCCAGCGCAGCTTGGCATGCCGCCCCCTCCCTGAGCCCCAGGCCACGAGTCCGGTGGAGAGGCGGCCTCCCGGGCACTCGGTCTGGGCTCACTGCAGTTCTGAGTGCCCAGGTCTGATCTGAAATCGGGGACAATTTGGGATTTGAAAGATGACCTTGATGAGAAGCAAGATTCAAGTCTGGTGGGATGAAGCGGGAGAGGTCATCCTGTGGGAGAGGTGAAATGAGAGTCCAGAGCGGAGGTGGAGATGGACAGACAGCATGAGCGGCACACAGAGACAGCACGGTTCCAGGGCACGCGGGGAGGACAGGCAGCTCGGGTCCCCAGAGCGAGCTCCAGGAGGTGCAGCCAGTGGAACCAACCTGAGTGTTTTCACAGCTGGGTGAACGTTGGGGTCACCTTGTTTTCATGGTGACACCTGCTCTCCCTTTACAGACAGTATGGACAATAACCTTTCAGGATAAATTTAACTCTGGAAACTGAGTCAACTTAGGGGGAACACGTAGGCAAGCACACGGTGGGGATCTGGCCATGGCGAACATCATGAAGACGGCGCCAAGGTGGCCCAGGAGGGGAGGGCAGCAGTCCCGGCCTGGCGGCCAGCGTCTCCCCTGCCCTGTGGGATTCATGGGCAACACTCTTTCTGTCCACTTCTGCTTTAATTTCAGCCTCCGAGATGTCGGAGATCGCAGCACGGGGGCCACGGACTTCACTCTGGGCTGGCGTCTGGCGGGGCAGAATCAATCCGAGGGTTCGAACTGCCTGAACAGACCATCGATCCTTCAAAGCACAGAACACAGCCCACCAGGGCCTGTCGGCAACGCCAACAACTCGCGTTCTGACACAGAAAGGGACAAAAGGGCAGCGGCTGTAAATTTAGCAGCTTAAAAAAAAAAGCCTTAGGAGACTTGTGGCTGTGCGTGTTTCAGGAAGCACAGGGACAAGCGGCCACCTCTGCTTAACACACAGGCGCGACACGGGCCTGCAGGTGCGAGAGCGTGGACATACAGGGCCACCCAACTTACTCAGCATGGACATCCGGCCCCAGGACACGAGTACACATGTCCGGAGGGTCCCCTAAAACTGTGCTGCTCTGAAGAAACGGTCCGGGGAGAATGGCAACTTGTCTTCTATTCTGAAATCAGAATCCGGGCTGGCTACTTTGGAACTGGGGTCAGGAGTAGGGTCCACTTAGAGGCCACGGGGCCCTTAGGTACTGGCTTTTTGTTGTTTGAGTTTCAGAAATGAAGGAGGATACAGGATGCAGACACATGGTAAAGGGAGGGATTAGAAATCTCCAATGTCTGAGAAAGAGAGAGGCTCGTTAGGAGAGGATGGGATGTCGGAGGAGGACCAAAACCGCAGGCGTTTAGAGAGAGCCGGATGGGCCGCTGGAGACTTGTCTTTGTCTTTGCTTTTGCTTCTCAAAAAGGGACTCTTTTTGCGCTGAGCAGCTAAATGTCATCACCCGGATAACCCAGAGGAGGAAGGGGAAAAAAAAAAAGAGAACAAATGAAATGAACAATAATTACAAATGAATCTAAATTAGCAAAATGTACCCAAGATGTCAGAATCCTGTCGGACCTAGAGAAGGGGAACCAATGCTGATGCTCAGACCAGGATGGGGCTCACACAGGAACTGTTTATGCTCTGACTCGGTTTAGGTGATTCAGGGGCTTCCCGATCCAACCACGGACTCACTCAACGTGTGAGGCGGACTACACACTGCCGGAGGGGCCGGCGATTTAGACTGATGCTTCAATTCCAGTGTGTTTAATTATTAAATGAGAATGCATTAATGTAGGAGCGGCCACTCCTCTTACTCATATGGTTTAATGACAGGGTCCCTGACAGCTCAGCTCACCTACAGCTCCTGTTCCCAAAGAGCTTGGAAACCTATAATGACAAGCTTCTCACCCACTGTCATGACACCGTCTACCTGCGGTACTCTCGACAGCATCTGCCCTCTAAAATCACCTCTGGGGGCAGAAGGAGTTTAGAAATAATGAAAACCTCTTTTGCATACCCAAGCCCTTTCATGCCAAGCAGAATCTTTTCTTTTCACGTCTCTACATCCTCCACTCCGTGGCCTTTAGATGACAGAGCAGACAACTGCTCTGACTTGAACACATCTTAAGCTAACATGAACCAACCTGATCCACTGCTGATCTAGGACTGAAGCGGAGAGCAGGACCTCCACGCTTTCTTTCCCCACAGCACCACCTGGTGGCCACAGCCCACACCACAGGAGAAGGGACCAACTGATTCTACATTGGCGGCCCTTTGGTATATGTATCCCTGCTGCCCAGCTCAGGGCTGGGCTCCAAGAGGAGCTCCCCAGTTTCTTTACTTAGCATCTTCAGGGACCAAAGCAAAGAAGGTAGCATGAACTCAGGTGCTGACAAGCCCGTGTGGATCTCTGCTGCAACACCAGCAAGAAGAACCTGGGCGAGCCTCCCTTTCTCAGCTCTGGAGAGGGGTAGTGATGGTGCCTACCTCATGAGTAGTCAGGCTTAAAGACAAGCACACAGAGTCCCCAGAGAGACTCAAGTCACACGACTCCTGCTGGTGACCGACACTGGCAGCTCGTGCACAGGTGGGTTCAACTGTCTGGGCTGAGCAGTTTTTACTCTGGAAGTTTCTCTGACTTGATTAGACTGATTATAGTTAGTTCAACTTACAGAATAATGCAAGTTGGGATGACAACTGCTCCAAAATTAAACAGCCAATATGAAAATCTGAAACAACTAGGTAGCAGAAATGCGGAGTTCAGCATCACTCACAAGCTGGATGAGCCTTTTTTCTACTCTGCTCCCTGTAAAGAATGGATGGCCGCGACTGGGGCTGGGGCTGGGGTTCAGTGGAGGCCCTAAGCAACTTACTGAGACCCTATCTCAAAATAAAACACCCCTGGGGTTCAATCCCTGATACTAAAACAACAACAAAAACCAACAATGGGAACAAATCAGTCCTCACATGTGCACATTTACTTTCTGTATTTGAAAGTGACACAACTGGTTCCTGTAGTAGGGAAGGTGACTTCTGAAGAGCTTGTGCCCAAGTCACTCCCAGGGCACTTCACGCTGGTCCTCAGTGCTCTACTGTCAGCCCCTAAGAGCAGTGGGTTCCCAATATGACCTTAAGAAAGCCCTGTAGCCTTTGTAATGATTCAAATTACTCAGGGTGAGCCAGGCACAGAGGCAGAGACCCATGATCCCAGAATCTCAGGAGGCTGAGGCAGGAGGATCACAAGTTTAGGGCCAGCCTGGGCTACTTAGTGAGACGCTGTCTCAAAATAAAAAGGGACGAGGAACGTGGTTCAGGGTAGACCTATGTTCAATCCCTAGTGCAAAAGAAAAAAGGAAAGAAAAAGTTCCTCAGGGAGGCCTGCCATAAATAATCCAACAAATACTTAAAAGTAAATCTGAAATTTTCGCGAAGTGTCAGGTGACTTCTGCATCTAAGAGTATAAGACATATTTTTTCCTATAAAGTCAGGATACAACTTCAACAATGTCTTCAGGCAGTGACTGTGATAACACTGTCATTGCCAGAACCCATTTATCTTGCTCACATTTTCCTTTTTTTTTTTTTAATTGCACAAGAATATAATAAAACTAGACTTGGGAAATAGCTCAGTTGGTAGAGTACTAGCCTTGCATGCACAAGGCCCTGGGCTCAATCTCGAACACTACACACACACACACACACACACACACAGACATACAACACAATAAAACTCCTGAGTGGGAAAGCACTGGACTATTGATTGCCAGTCATCGCCCCAAGCAGACTAAAGTAACCCTGCAGCTCAAGTGGCCTGGGCATTGGTAAGACACAGCACATACAACTAGGAGTCCTGCTTTTATTTCAGAACCTGTGGCAAACTCTAAATGACAACCCTGAGGGAAGACACACACTGGTTCCCATGGCTGGAAGGATGGGGGAAGGTCAGGCGGCAGAACAGAGCCTCCTTTGAGGGCTTGCTGAGGCTCCTGGGCACGTGGGGAACGTGCTACACACACCTGGGAAGTCCCTACGGAAGGTGGTTGTTAGATGCCCTGACCTGTGTGAGGGCCCTCCCTCCTGCCCACTCTGGCTCTATGGCACCTGCTTGAGGATCAACTCTGGACTCAAACACCCCCCACGGCCTGCGTGACGAAGACACGTCTCTTTCTGAAGTGCTACTGGACACTACAGCCACAGGGAGCCCTGGGTTTCTACTTCCTACTCAGTTCGTGACAGGGCTATGCAGGAGGCACCCGTGCACACCCACCCCTCCCACTCACCCTGGGGGGTTGGGACGAATCTCGAGGACACGCCCCGCACCCCGACTGCAGCCGGTGGGGCCACCCTACCTTTGACCACAGTCCCGTTGTGGGTGTCATGCTCTTCTGCACAGTTCAGGCGCACTGGGGGGGTGTTGGGGTTCTCTGGCCGTGACCTGAGAGGCTGAGAAGGGGGTGGCGAGGCAGGGTCTGACCCTGAGGACTCCAGCTGCAAGGGAGGGCTGTCTGTGGCTGACTTCAACCGTTCTCTGGAACCGTCTTTCTTTGGTTTGATGAGTTTGACTAAGGCTTTGGCTCCAATCCAGTGGTTCTTCCTGATGAGAAGAAGACCTTTAGAAAGCACGACCAATTCTCCACCCCCCTGGCTGGTCACCAGGTCCCTAACGTGAGCTGGGACTTCCATCATCAGCCTAAGTGATTCGGCTGTCAATTTGGGGTTCACGATGATGGCACTGGGGATGGCTGGGGCTCAGCAGTAGAAAGCTTGCCTGGCATGTGTGAGGCCATCACAGCCAAAAAAAAAAAAAAAACAATAAAGAATATCATGATCACTTGATCACTTTTGGGACTTGGAGCCCGGTTCTCATCAGGTGCAGGCTGGGTGACGTCAGGAGAAATCCATGCTAGTCTCCCAGGAAGAAAGACGTCACGTGAAGCCCCTGGCTCCTGCCTCACTGTGCCACGTGGAGGAGGCAGGACTGTGCCAAGCCAGCGGTCAAAAAGCCACTTTCAGGAATATTTTCTGCTCAAGTTAGTAAAGGAAACAAGCTGCATCCCTGACCACCCCCTGCACAGAGCAACAGGACCAGGACTAGGGCAGAGGGCGTCTGAACTAGAACCAGCACGTTTACGGGTTAAGGGGGACGCTGCAGCTGGCGAGAAGGCCAAGGCCCGCGGGGGAACGCTGAGAACCACCCTCTGTTCCCCCGCCGCAGTGACTCCTCCGCCTCTCCCACCTCAGTTCCACGTCTGCCTAACAAACGACTGAGACAGGTTCTGAAACTCTGTCAACAGAGACCCTTGAGGGATTCATGGTGACTTCAACTTGAAGGTGGGGCTGGGCCCGGCTAATCCAAAGGAAGTGCTCCTGAGCTCAGGCCACGGACGGTGGAAGGACTGCTAGCCAGAGGTGGAAGGACTGCTAGACAGAGGTGGAAGGACTGCTAGCCAGAGGTGGAAGGACTGCTAGCCAGAGGTGGAAGGACTGCTAGACAGAGGTGGAAGGACTGCTAGACAGAGGTGGAAGGACTGCTAGCCAGAGGTGGCAGGCTCCTGGGCTGGGTAGGCCCCACGGGGAGCTGCTGCTCACAGAGGTTCTGAGCATCCAGAGGGGTTGTCACCACGTTTGCACACTGTGGGGCGCAGCCAGGGCCCTGCCGTGCGTCTTTCCCAACACAGGTGCTGTCCGGGCAGGTTAAATATCGGGCCCACAGACCCTGACTCCTAGAAGGGCCATGGCTAAATCAAGCTCGTGTCTCCTGAGGACCAGCTGGTGTTGGCCATCCCCACAGGACAAGCGGGAGTACCCAGGGTGGGGACGAAAGACGTCCTAACTCCTCTGACACAGGGGATCTGCATGCAGGAGGCCTGCCGGGGGGTGAGGTGGGGCCTTCAAATGGGGCTTTCTCGGGGGCTCCCGGTTCCCTCGACTCATGGAAACGTCTGCTGTGCTGCCAAATCTCACATCAACTCACTTCTTTGGAGCAGGGTCATAGAACTTGTACTGATCCATGATTTTTTCTTCCAGTTTTTCCTTATGTCTCCGTAAGGCATTTAATTTGTCTCTGTGGACAGAAAGGAAAGAAAAGCTCTCGATTCACAGAACGAGTGAACGTACTCTCAGCCCATACCAGGCAGAGGCCGCGTGTCTGAGGTTCAGACACGAAGGTCTCAACACCACTGCTGAGTGCAGATCACGGGACAGAAGCACCTGCCACAGGCTCAGGGAGCCTGGCCACCCTGTGGCCACCCCAGGGTCCAGCTGTGAGCGAGCTCGAGGGGACAAACCTCCAGCCATCTGAAGAGTCCTGCTCAGAAGGACTCGCAGGCAGGCCAGCTCAGGTGGGATGATGGGCACTCCTGGGGGTGGGGCATATCTACAAGACTGGGCACTAGGTCAGAAAGGGCTGGGTTGTGGCTCTGTGGTAGAGTGCTTGCCTGGCATGTGTAGGGCACTGGGTTCAATCCTCAGCACCGCATATAAATAAATAAAATAAAGGTCCTTTGACAACTAAAAAGAATGGATGAAAAAAAAAGAAAAAAGGTCAGCAGAACCAGACCTCAGCCCCAGGCCACTCAGGAGTGCCTGCTGACCCCTCTGGGGGCACACTCGGGAGCTTTCGGGGGCCAGGCAAGGAAGACAGAGCTGGACAGAGCTGCAAAGGCGGAGGGATCGAGAGGCCCGCGGCAGGCCTGGGGTCCCCAGGTAGCCGGCTCCTGCAGATCACTGCCACGGGACACAAACCCGGGTCTGTCAGGGTGACCAGAGCCAGGAGATGAAGTAGAATCACCTGATTTCCACATGAGAAACCAATTCACATTTTCAAAATCAAAACAGGGCCAGAGATGACACCTGAACCCCAGCTGTTAACAGCACCTCTGCTCACAGGGGAGCCCAGGGTGCTTCTTTTAGCCTAGAAGCCTCCTGCGTGGACAGTTCAGACTCCTGGTTTCCTTATTTGAAAAGAGGCCTGAAATGGGAGGTGACCACTCAGGCTTCTTCGTTCTCGAAGCTGCTGGGTCCCACCTGAGCCTTGGGATTTCCCAAGGAATCGCTGAGGTCACACCAGGGGAAAGGGACATGGGGCCTGGCCATCGGCTGTGCTGTGTCCCAGCTCTCCGCGCAACCCCTGGGCTGTGTCTGGCCCAGGGTCACACCCCCGTACCAGGCCTGGAGCAGGCTACGGGCAGGAAACGGGCCAACCCAGGACAGGAGCCTGACGCAGACGCTCTCTACTGCAAAAACATCACCCAAGAGTCCCCCAGGGACCAGGCCTCCAGGCCTTCTGTTAGCACCCACCCAACCTCTGCTGGCAACTCCGACACATGGATTATAGAGGATCGACTTCACGCCACTGTCATTTCTGCCCCCAAATTACAGTGTGGGTTTACAGGCGAACCGTCTTTCAGTAGGTGGCAGACAGAGGAGTGGGGGGACAGGAAGAGCACTGTTACACCAGGGAGTGCTGGGACAGCACCTGGGGCAGTGACCACGTCCTCCCCAGGCACGTCTCTTCCTGCCCTCACCACACTGGCTCTGGCACAGCAGGACCCGCCTGGGTGGCACACACATGGAGGGGCAGGCTGGCCATCACAGCACGCAGCAGTGAAACTGCCTTGGACTCCTGAGAGGCACCTGGGCCACCTGACTTGGGAGCCAGGCTTCCAGCAGGACACAGAGGCCTCCCACGCTGAGCAGCCCTGGTGCCACGCCCCTCCCCCTGGCCTGCCCCTCTCTTCTCAGGCAGCAGCAACCCCGACCCCTTCTGTCTGTGCCTCCCGTGGCTCCCCGCTGAACGGCTGGCAGGGGACAGTGCTGTTCACACCTATCCCTGCTACTGGTGGCCAGCCCCCAGAGCCTGCGCCAAGGCTGGCCCCTCCTGATCGCCAGCAGACCCACTGCCCAGAGTCTCAGGGGGAGACGCACAGCCAGGAGAGAGGCTCAGTTTCCATCCGCGTTCTCTCCCTGAGACACCTCTCCTTGTGCTGGGGGACTTCGAGAAGTGAACTCAATTCTAAAAGCAGAGGAGGGAACTTCCAGCAGTGGGCAGTGAGTCTGAAGAGCAAGCCAAAGCCAACCACCACTTCCGGAAACCTAGAGCATCCCTCAGGTGGGTGAGCTGGCCCAAACCCTGCCCTGGAGACCCCAAAGGCCAGGGGACAGACATCAGGACCTCCAGAGACAGGACTGCCCGCCGACACGTGCCCCTGCCGGGCCCCTTACATGTACTGCTTCTGCTCCTCGTGGTACTGCTCCTGGCTCTCCATGTTCTGCTCTAGCAGCTTCTGGTTCTGCTGGCTCAACAGCTGGATCTGGCTCAGGAGGTGGTGATTCTCCTCCTCCAAGTTCCCCTTGAGCCGGGAAAGCAGCTGCAACACAAGAGACACCCGCTGCTGGGAAGGTGGCTTCCAAAGAAGGGACAGGCCAAGGGCATAAGGCTGTCAGGAGCTCGGGAAGAACCCGAGGACCAGCAACATGGCGGCGGGGCACCCGACACGCAGCTGGTCTACGTGCAGGGTGCAGCAGATGTCGAAGGCTGAATCTAGGAAAAAAGAAATCCCTCACTTGATCACTTTTTTGATTATATGTTGAAATGATGTTTTGGATGCACTGTTTAAATAAAACATATTATTAAAATTAAATCCAGCTGGGCATGGTGGCACACGCCTGTAGTCCCAGCTGCTCCAGAGACTGAGGCAGAAAGACTGACTGGCCCTCAAGGCCAGCCTGGGCAGCACAGCAAGACCCATAAAAATTTTTTTTCTTTCATTAAAAAATTCAAGACACATTTTAAATGTGGCTACTAGAAACCTAAATTGCGTAAGCAGCTTGTGTCCTATTTCTAGCGGGACAGCTTCGCTCTAGAGAGGGGCCACACACATTCTTCCCAGCCCTCCAGCGCCTGTCACCGCCACTCGACTCCCCCTGGGCAGTGTGGAAGCCCCATCGGCAACCCATCAGCGCACAGTGTGGCCACATTCCAACAAGGCCACTGACGGACACGACACTTAGAAGTTCATATTGTTTTCACTTGCCACAAAATAGTACGTTCATTTGACATTTCCCAACCCACACAGACGCCAAAGACCCCTGGTTTGTGGCAGGACAGAAACAGGTGGGGAGCGGGATCCGCCGTGGGCCGCAGCTCACCAGCTCCTGGGCTGGAATGCCACGTGGGACAACAGGACAGCCACAGGTGCTGGAGGAGAGACCGGGCAACCCACCACCTATGAGGGACGAGGGTGGGGACCCGGCTCCTAAGGTCACCGTGAGGGTTAAATAAGACGCCCCACACAGGCAGAGGGCAAATGCCTAGGACACCCTGGGTGGGAAGCCCGGGTTCCCTGCTCTTCCCCGTCGGCAACTGTGACTGTGACTTCACTATTAACCACAAAACGGAAATTCCTCTTATCTTGGATTTTTTTTCTTGGCGGTGCTGGGGATTGAACCCAGGGACACTACCACTGAGCTACATGCTCAACCCTTTAAAATGTTCTTAGTTTGAGACAGGGTCTAAGCTGTTGGCCAAGATGACCTTGAACTTCTCTTGCCTTCGCCTCCCCATCGGCTGGGATTACAGGGGAGGGCCCTGAGCCCGGCTTATCTTGACTCTTATTACATGTGACCGATGAGCGTGCGACAGGCAGAACCGGAAGGAAAAGAAGGTGAGACTACAACCAGCAACTTCCCTGAAAACGTCTGTGTGACTGCTGCCGAGATGCCGTTTGGGCAACACATAAAATGACTGTCATAGAGTCTCAGAGATTCCACAGATGAGACCAGCAGGGGGTTTGGCAGTGAGTGCACTGCCAACATGCAACCAGCTGGGGACAGAAGTCCATCCCTGGACACTGCCTCAGCCCCCTGGAAAGACCTGGGCGTGACCACGAGCCTCAAGGAGCCCAGTGTCGCGGGCCTTCCCTGCAGCCCGAGCCCAGGGACCTCGGCCAACGTCGACAGCACAGCTGCTCTTCCACCTCGTCAGACCCTGGCACGTCCCAGGAGCCAACCCAGAGAGAGGAGGGGGAGCCAGGGCTCTGGGCCACGGCTGCCAGGCCCCACTGCACTCTGTTTAGCCTCCACAGAAATGATTCCTGTCCCCCAAACGCACACGCTTGTCCTTGTCACTAGAATATAACTGCCTGGAGACAGGGCTCTCAAAGGGGGGATGAAGTTAAAAGGCTGACGTGAGGGTGGCCCTGACCACAGCACTGGTGGCCTTGTGAGGGGGACGTGGACACAGACATACCACAGATGCACACGCACAGCCCACGAGTCAGGCAGAGGCCAGGAGCCGCCTGTCAGCTCCCGACCGGGCACCAGGCTCCAGATGGTGAGAAGTCAGCGTGTTGCCGGCCGCCCTGGGGTCCCGTGAGGACGGCCCAGCAGGCTGACGTGGCTTCCACCTGGGCTCAGGGTACTCCCCTCGCTCCCTGCTGTGGCCCTCATCTGGGCCTTCTCATGACCTCACAAAACACTGCTCCCGCGCCCCGGCAATCCTTCAACCGTGGCGCAAGTGTGACCCACTGTGCGCGGCCTCCGCTGTAGCTCCTGACCTGGACGCTCCTCCTGACCCTCGTGCACCCATGACAGGGAAGTCCCTGTGGGCACGCTGTCCTCAAGGGGCCTCGAGGTGGGCGGGACCCATGGCCACTGGCCCCACTCCTCACCCAGGGACCCCACAGGGCACCAGGCCTGGGGCCTCATCCTCGGGGGCAGCTCACAGTCTGGCTGGGGGACTGCAGGCCTCGGTGACCTCGACTGGAAGTCTCCTGGGGCAACCTCGGGCCAGAAGAAAAGCCTCTGTTGCTTCTCAGCAAATGAAAGGCAGGAGGAAACCCCGACCTGAGGTCACTGTCCCAGGGAGGCCCCAGAGGGGGCAGGGCCCACCTGCCTCCCTGTCCTGGGGCCTATTTCAGATCCCACCTGAAGAGGGGACAGCAGCTCTGCTCTCAGCAAGCTGGGGACTCCAGAGCGAGCCCTCGCCTCCCCTGGACGCAGGGCCGGTCAGCTGGGCCCCACAGTGGGGTAACTGTGGGCCGTTCTGTGTGACGGGGGACCACGGAGGTGAAGGGTGTGGGGAGCCGCGCAGACGTGGGCAGAGCGACAGGTCACCCTCGCCCTCCTCTGCGGCCCTCTCCAGACCTCGGGGAGCAAAGGCCGGGCGAGGGGCTCTCCTGCCGTGTTCCTATCGGGAGGGCTCACCTCACAGTGGTTGTCCAGCTTGGTCAGCGAGAGGTCCATGCTCTGGTGCTGCTCCTTGAGCTCGTCGAAGCGCGCCTGCCAGCGGCTCAGCTCCAGCTGTGAGCTGTTGAGCGCTGTCTTCAGCTCCTTGGTGTGGGCATGCAGCTCCTCATACTCCCCCTTCAGCTGGTGGTGCAGGAAAGTGACCCTGCAGAGTGGAAAGCCACAGGGTGAAGGGGGTGAAGAATGTTCCAAAGACGTCTAGACTGGCCGAGCCTGGGTTTCTGTCCCAGATCTGAGACCGGCAGGCTGTGCAACCTCAGACAAAGCCACAGCCTCTCTGGTCCCAGGATTTTTTCACATGTGAAATGACAGCACTGAACAAAATTGCTGGTTTTTAAGCTGTTCAACGAGGGCACCCTAGTGCTGCCACACTGGGCCAGAAGGACTCAGCAGGCAGCCTCAGACGTCGGCCTCAACCGAGCACCCCTGCTACTATCCCTTCTACATGACAACTTTAACTCACCACACTTTGAGAAAAAGGATTCTGCTGTTAAAAAATTTTTAATTTAAACAAGGAACCATAACACTTTGCGCTAAAAGTTCACATCTGTGCCCAAAACCCCTTACCCAATTCCAAGCCCGATTTCAACTCCTAAGATACATAATATATGATGAGTTGTCAAGACATGAATTATACAGATAATGTATATTATTTGTAAATAAGTATAAATACTTGTTATCCAAATCCACTAAAATTACTATGATCCTGATCTACGTTGGCCAACTCGGCTTCTCAGAAGACTGACATGGGGAAGTGCAGATGGCGGGGTGGGGTTGGGGTGTCAACACAGACCCCCCCTGGGGCTTGTCTGGCCTGTACAGCCGTTTCCCATCGGCACCCAGACATGCAGCTCCTCCACAGAATACAGACCCGGTCAGGGCCAGACCCAGGTGGACCCGAGAGCCTCAGGCTCGCTCCGGTCTGCTGGAGGCCAGGGTGCCTGTGGGCTTCTGTTGGAGGACACCCCAGGGCACAGGCTCACAGCAGCCCTGCCACTCCGGCCCGGGAGCCTGTCTACCGGATGTTCTGTGCGGCTCCTTGTGGCCTTTTTGTGCTCGGGGACACCAGACCACCCTTCAGCACTGTCCTTAGGGACGTGTGAAGCCATGGGAAAGGACTTCTGTCTACAGCGGGAGGAGCGACAGGCAGGCAGAGCGCCACCCGTGGGGCCACAGTGGCTTCTGGACTCTGGCGTCCACGCAGCCCTGGTGAGCAGAGGCCTGGCTGCTGAGGAGCTGGGGCAAAACGTGGCTTCACAATGGCCCCCACCTGTCCAGCTCTCCCTGCAGCTTCTGGTTCTCGCCCGTGGTGATGGCGTGTGTACGCCGCTCCTGCTGCAGTGCCTCGCGCTCCGAGGTCAAGGCGCCCTGCAGCGCGTCCAGCTCTGCCTTCTGCTTCAGCAAGTCCCCGTGCCTGTGGAGGGAAACCACGGGAGTCTGGCCCCTGCCTTCCGGCTGGCAGCTCACCCAGACAACTCGGCCTCCAGAAAACAGGACTCCTCCAGAGGCCTCAGTGCAGGGGCAGGGGACGGGGCAGGGGGCGGGCCAGGGCCCAGCTTTGCATGCCTCACAGTCCTGCTTCCTGCCAAAACACCCCTCCTTCAGGCCAGCACGAGATGACACCCTGAACTCTATGCCCTCCTCTTTTAGGGAATTACGAATCAGTTGAGAGGTGGCTCAGAAAGCAGGACAGACCCAGAGGAAACCACAAAACAAACACCACAACTCCACCACACCCGGCCTCCCCTCACCTGCCCACGCCCTGCCCACCTGTGTCTGCTTGTGCCCCATCAGGCCTCCTGGAGGAGCAAGGTCAGCCTCGAGCTGGCGATCAGCTGTGGCCCCTCCAGCCCTGGCCCTCGACCCTCCCCTAGGGCTCCAATTCCTTCACCCTCAATCCCCGTGGGCTGCACAGTCATTTCTGGGGGATGGCAGATCACAAGGATGGAGTCCGAGGCCAGCCTCAGCCTGCTCCGGACACACGTTTGGAAGACCCCAGTGTGGCCAAGGACAGAGCTGAGATGACCCTTGCCTGCCCAGGCCAGCGATGCCAGGAGAAATCAAGCTGGACAAACAAGGGGCACGGCTGACCAGGAGGGCTCCCGGGGCCTGCTCCCGTGACTCGGGGAAGGCCGCTGATGAGGCCAGCGGTGACTCGCCAGCTCCGGGAGGTCTTCAGGAGTCCCCGGAACAACCGAGGACTTGTCCAACAAGACTGCAGAGCCACCGTCCCTGTGTGGCTGACACCCACTCAAAAACCTGCGCCACTGCCAGGGACAGCCCGAGGCAGCTCCGGCCACCTGTCCAACCGACAAAACATGGAGCAGCTACCAGCCGCCGCGCTGAGCAAGCCGCAGGCAGACGAGTGGCCAGCGCGCTCCACCTCAAAGAGCTGCCCATGGCGCAAACAGAAGCCGCTGTCCTAACAGGAGGCCAGGAGTGAGACCCTCGCAGGACCCTCGGGCCCACATCCTGTCCACGTCCAGAGACACACCACATACGTGGCAGGTGTCGCTCGGGTACGGTGGGAGGAGGGCGAGATGAAGGTGCAGAGAGGCAGGAGATGCATCTTTCAGCAGGAAGGGGGGAGGGAGGGGGAGGGGAGGGGGGAGGGGTGGAGGGGAGGAGGTGGGGAGGGAGGGAGGGGGAGGGTGAATCTGACAAGGGCAGTCACTTCAGTAGCCCTGAAGGACAGAGATGGGACACACAGGGGCCGGAGAGCTCCAGTCGAGGAAGAAAGGACACAGTGAGTAAAGCAGACCTCGTCCTCGCCACCCTCACGCCCACAGCTTTGTTAGCACCCGTTTTTCTGGGTCCTGTGATGGAAACTCTGCAGGTCAGCTGCCCGCTCCTGGAGGACCAGTGTCTGCCTGCCTGGCCGTGCTGCCGGCTGGACTCAAAGGCAACACTGCGGCGGCACCACACCAGCCCCGTGAGGGGCTTCCTCCTGGGGTTCATGGGGCGTCTGGGGCCCCTCTGGGTGAGCCTCCCTCTGCCTCTGACTGAGGGGCACTGAGCACATCCCCAGCCTCCGAGGCATCCCCCTCTCTGATCCTCCCCACCCGCCCAGGGACCTGGCCCCTGGGTGGCTGACTCACTGGGCACAGAACCCAGGACCCACAGCTACTGAGAGTGCAGAGTGAAGATCTGCACGTTTCCACATGTACAGAATGCTACCACCCCCCAAGACACATTAAGATGACACGTGGGGGCATAGGGCAGGGGGCAGAGGAAATGGGGGGGCGGCGTGTGGTGACCACAGGAGACTTGGCAGGGGCATTCCTGGCACTAATCACACATCCAGAGGTTCACAGGTTTAGTTTTTTAAAAGCAAGCAAGCCAGGCCTTAGTATGCAGGAGAAGGCCGAGGAGCCAGAGCACATCCCTCTGCGCTGGCTGCTGTGGGACATTCCCTCCTGATCGCCAGCGGGAGAGGAGAGGGAGCCCAGGACACAACCCACAGGAGAAACGGCCTCACACACCCAAGCTGGGCTGCCTGGCGCCGGCACTGGCACCACTACTCCCTTGAGGGCTCCCCCTGCCACTTGGTCCCCAGCTGCACAAACTTCAAATTGCTGAAGGTGACATTATATTTCCTTCCCTTTGGGAAAGCGCAGGCGCCCCAACAATGGGCAACAGCTGGCCAAGAGGAAATGGGTGTAGCTCTGTGTACAGCCTGCTTGCTTAGCATATGCGAGGCCCTGGGATCCATCCCTGCAACCCACACAGGGGACGGGGAGGTGGGGCAGGGTGGGAAGAGGAAACACAGGAAGGGACAAAGGCAGAGCACTGGCCTCAGGAAGGTCCAGGCGTCTGGGGCAGCTGGACGCTCAGGACACCAGTGTGTCCCCCCTCTACAGGCTCCTCCCCTGCCTCCAAGCCTCCTGGCTATCGGGCAGGGTCCCCACCTGGCCCTGCAGACCTCTCCCCGCCCCACAGACCCCTGGAGCCCCCCTCTGCCCCCCAGCCCACCTCTCGCCCAGCTCCTTGTGCTCCAGCTCCAGGTTCCGGTGCAGCGTCTTCAGGCAGCTGTGCTGGCGGATGAGGGCCTCGTACTCGGAGGACTGGCGCTCGTGCAGGGAGCCCAGGTGCTCGTGGTCCTGCAGCAGGGCCTCGTAGGCAGCCGCCAGCTGCTCCTGCTGCCTCTGCAGGGCCTCGTGCTCCGTCTCCTTGGCCGCCTGCTGGCTCTGGAGCAGCGCGTACTGCGCGGTGAGTGAGGCACTCTGAGAGCTCAGCGTGGAGTTCTCCACCTGCACAAGAGCACCAGGGGCCGGCGGTGAGCGGGCCAGGGAGCAGGCCAGGCCCAGGAGGCGGCTACACCAGAACCCAAGGGCCTGCCTGGGATGGGGACCTCACTACTCTTCTCCCCTGGTGCTGGACTGGAGCCCAGGGAGCTACCCACTGAGTGGCATCGCCAGCCCTTCCGTAAGTTCAGACGATTGCACAAACTGGCCATCTTCCTGCCTCAGGCTCCTGATTCCTGGATTACAGGCACCACTGTGCGTGGCTGACCCTCATGATTTTTAGGAGTCTAGTTTCTAAAACAAGTATACAGAACACCTGGACAACACCACCCAGCCTAGCATCACGGGTATTCATAGAACATTCCATCCAACATGGTCCAAAGTCATTAGGAAACTGGACAGGGGCCAGAACTACCCTGATACTAAAGCCAGACAGAGGAGGTTTATAGGACAAAACAACAAACCAATACCCTATTTTCTTGTTTCCCAACCTCTCTGCCAAGGTTTCCTGCCCTTGTCCCATAAGGAACCTGTTTCGAAACTTTTCTCAGAAACAACATTAACGATTGTTCGTTTTCCTTCACAGGCTTATCAAAGGCTCTGCCAGGTTCTACTGCCCAGAAACCCGATCCACCGTTTAACCAAACTTACTCCATCTCAAAATCTCTTTCCTAAGTCATTCCTAATAAAACCTCAAGGAACAGACTTGGGGAAACACAGATGGGAATCGCAGTAGAAGCAGAAAATGTCTTTTCCACCCACGCAGACGTCGGCCCAGGCACTTAACGGCTGTGAGTGGCTCCCATCACCAAAGTTCCCTGCTCCCGTGCCCTGAAACCACCTCCCGCGCCCCACTGCTCCTGCTCGGGGTCCCGGTGCCCGGGTCGCAGTACCTGCAGCGTGGCAGTCTGCGTCTGCAGCGTGGTGGTGCGCTCCTGCAGGAAGGCGCTCTGCTTCTGCAGCGTCAGGATCTGGTTGCTGAAGGCCACGTTCTGCGTCTCCAAGTGCTGCAGCTGTTCCCTGAGCAACTGCTTCTCTGCCTGCAGAGCTGCGTTCTGGGGACAGGACACAGGACGCCAATCAAACCCTGGTGGGGTGAACGCCAACCAGCTATGGGGGCCCAGGTTGCAAGGACCCCTCAAGAGTATGTTTCCTCTTTGAAAAGGACAAGCAACAGGATTTTTTAAAAACAGACCACACACCACGGGTCACTGTGTGGGGCCTAAGCTGAGCGGAGGCCAGGGCACCTGGGGTTAAAGCCACTGTGGCCTTTTGCTCTGTCATGCTTTCCCCTGTATTCCACGGAACACCCTGGAAGTGCTTTCCCGTGAGCTGCTCGCGTCCCATTACCCCCAGTCCCTCACAGGACGGGGAGTGGCAGCGCTCGGCTGCAGGGGCGCGATGGAGTCTAAGGCAGACCACACCAGCTGCCACGAGGGGGCTCAGGCCCGGCCGCGGGGGCCGCAGGCTCCTGCTGCCCCTTGTTAGGGTGGGACTTGGGAAGAGTCTCTCATCTTCAGTCTTGGCTTTCACATCTGTCAAATAATGAAAATGTCCCTTCACAAGGTCACTGGTGGGAATCAAAAAAAAAAAAAAAAAACAAAAAAAAAAACAGAGGGACAGACACGCACTGGCCAACCTGTTCTGCAGAGGGCCAGCGGCGAATGCCCAGAGCCTGTCGACCACACCATTGCCATCTCACCCCCTGAACGCTGCCATCGCAGTGGAGACAGCTCAGACACCCTGTGCCAAAGGTGTGGCTGTGTTCCAGTAAAACTTTATTGACAGACACAGTGGGGGTCTTGGCACGCAGTGCTGGGAACCGGCCCTGTAGGACACCACCACGCTGCTGGTGAGCAGGCTACAGGAGGTCCCGTGACAGGGGCAGGTGGCAATGAAAGACTGCGTGGGTCCTTACGGCTAGAGAACCCACAATGAGTGGCTGCCCATCAGACCTGCAGACACCGTGAGAAACACCCCGCTGGACCCAGGGAACCTAACAGACTGACGTCATCAGCGTCACTGTTAAGAGGACATCCCTCTCTCTGTGTAGCTGTGGCCAGGGCAGCTCACTCACATTCCGCTCCAGCTCAATGGCTCGGTCCTTCACGCGGAGCAGCTCCATCGTGGCCTCCTGCTGGCTGGGTCCCCAGGCCTCCTCCTGGTGACCGGCAACGGCCTTGCCCACAGGGTGCCTGAGCGAGTTCTGTGCCTGCGGGCCGTGCTCCTGGGTCTGCCTGAGCTGCTCACACTCCTCCTTAACCTGTGGGAGTGGTGGCAGGAAAGCAGATCGAGGCAGGAAGCAGCCTCACCCTGAAGTCTCAGAGGCACCCACTCACCCCCAGCACAGGACAGAACTGACTTGCCCTCCTTCTGCTTCTGTGGGTCCCACGTGTCTCCCCCTCCTGTCCAGAAAGGACAGGATGGCAGGGGCCTGGAGCCCGTGCTGGCCTCAGTCCCCACCTCAGCCTGTGACCACCATTACCACAGGCTGCGGGTCGGGCACCAGGGGTCTCACATGGTGCAAACCCCCAGCACTAGAACTGCTGTGCTCCAGGTTCAACCCCATGGCCAAGAAATGTGCCCTGTGTCACAACAGGGGGACGTGTGCACATGTGTGGAGCACGTGCGTATGCAGAGAGTTCCTCTGCCCACGCGTGTGGAAGGTGTGTGCAACGTGAGTGGAGAGCACACGTGTGTGCGCGCGCGTGCATGGAGCAGGCAAGTCATGCCCTCACAAGCCCATCCCACCTCAGGGTGCCTGGGAGACTCTACAGGCCTCTGCTCCATGCCCAGGGCTCAGTGTCACATGGGGTCTCATGGCACGGCCCATGTCCCAGACGAACAGGGGGCTGCTCACGCCTCTGGCTGACCCTCCCCCCCACCGTGTGAGTCTGACAGTTCACCCGCACCTGCCCCAGGACACGGGCATCCGGGAGGCCCTTGGCTATCCAAGCGAGGGGCCGGGGAGCCAAGGCAGAGCCCCCAGGCGGCGGCCCTCACCCTCTGCAGCTCGCTCTGCAGCTGGAGGTTCAGGCCCGCTCTCTCTTCCACTTGGGCTTCCAAGAACGCGATCTTCTCTTCCTTCACAGCCAGGGCTGTCTTCAGTGCCGATTCGCTTCTGCCCTCCAAAATCTTGTATTTTCTGAAAAATACAGACACAATACAATGACCTGCCTCTTCACCCCCACGCCATTCTCCTCACTCCCGTGCAAGCTGTTCCTGCTCAGCTGTCCTGCGCCACCAGACCAGGTGGCCCAGGAGCGCCTGGGAGCCAAACCCGCCATCCAGAGCCCTACGGACATCTACCCCAGGCAGACACCTGTGAGCCCTCACACGTGGCACCGCCACACTTCACGGACTGGTCACTGTCTTGGGGAGGCGTCAGCATGAATATTTTACAGAGAAACTGAGTCTCCAAAAGGCCAAGCCAGGGGCTGGGGCCGGGGCTCAGCTGCAGAGCGCTTGCCTCGCACACGTGAGGCACCGAGTTCTATCCTCAGCACCATGTTGAAAAACAAATAATAAACAAAAATAAAGGTATTAAAAAATAGAAAGGTCAAGCAATTTGCCGAGGCTCCGTGGGGAGCGTGCAGCCCTCCCACCACACTGGCACCCACAGCAGCTCAGGGGTCTTGCAGGCTACAAGTCCAGGAAAAGCCCAAGGTGCTGGATTTCCTTGAGAACTGCCGTCACTTAAGAAAGCACGGCGGGAGAGCTGCGACCGTCAGGCTAGGAACAGGGCGCCTTGGGCTGGGGGTGGCGCGCTGGCAGGGCACTCGCCCAGCACGCAGCAGGCCTGGGTTTGACCCCCAAAACGGTAAGTGAGCACAGCAATCCCCTTCCCCCGAAAACCTCCAGAGACGAGAAAGACCTGGACGGTGAGGACATGGGCTCAGTCATGCGGTGACGATCATGAACAATAAACGAAGGCCTCGGGCCAGGGGCAGGGAGCCCGGGCCTCCACAGTGAAGGGAAGTGGACTGTGCGGGGACAGTGTCCTCACGTGTCACCGTGGCCGTCATCGTCCTGCAGCAGCAGCTCCTTGCTGAGGCCGACCTTCTCCAGCTCCTGGCTCAGTTTGTCCAGCTCACTGGTCAGCTGCTGGCTCTTCAGCTTCTCCAGCACCAGGTCCTGCGAAGGCAGGAGACACGAGGGTGGGACGTGGGCCCAGCAGGAACACGGCGGGGGTAGGGAGGCCAGGTCCTTCCTCCCAAGTCCCCGCGGCTCAGGTGCTAAGCCAGCTGGACGGGCACTGTTGGGGACAGACGGTCAACCCAGGGGAGCTCTCCCAGAGAGGGGACAAGCACACCTCTCCAGCTCTTGGGCACTGAAACAACCAGACCAGGTGGCCGCACCAAGGACGAGCCTAATGTTGTCCTCCTCAGAAGCATTGCAAACGCCACCCACGCTGGCCCTGGAGTAGCAGTTTCATTCTGATGATGGGACGGACGTCTTTACAAGAGTATCACATAATTAAAATGTAGGCATTTTGAAACAGGAAAAGGCATCAAGAAGGGCGGGTTTTACTGTAAGCCCCAGCTCTGGTCAACGTTCCAGGACGAGGGTGCTGCCCAGGTGGTTCCCACTGCCCCCTTCATCCCCTCTCTGCAGCTCCCTGGGGGCAGCTGCCATGTTCTGCCGAGTGCCACAGAGACCTGAATGCAATTTATCCCTCCCACCAAATCCCAAGCATCTGCTGCCCTGAACATCCCTGCCGCCCCGCCAGACTAGCTAAAGCCAGGTGACCGATTCTAGGCAGTGGCTGTGGGTGGGAGTAACAAGGGTCACTCCTCTGCTGTGATAAGCAGTGGGTACATGGTGGCTGGGGCACGGCCTGCCCCGTGCTGTTGGAGATGGGGACCGTGGGTGGTGTGCACAGCCTACAGCTCTCCCGTGGCATTCTGACTAGCCTGACAGTCCTCCGTTTTGAATGTGGACACTGCTCTGTCCACTGAACCCCACGTCCTTCTCTTCCTGGGCAACCCAGCACCCTGCAGCTGCCCGTGGCTGTGTGGCCAAGCTGACAGAAGCCAGGTGCCTGAGCCATTGAGCTGAAGACACTTGGGAACATGCACACTGACCCCAAGGTGAGGGAGACAAAACCTGGGTGTTGGGTCCCTCAGAAGCTGAAGGTGTCACCAGAGCAGCCGTTCACCGTAATGAGCGGAACGATCAGACGCTCAGGTGGCCCAGCTGAACAACACCAGGGAGCTGCAGGACACGTATTTCTGAAGAATTTCACATACATCAAGACACACGTATGCACCTCTAGGAACACAGCCCAGGAACACAGCCCAGCACACTCAGGAAGGCCGTGAGTCCCTCAGGGGTGGGGTCAGGGTGCCGTTCAGCAGGCACAAGGGGCTCAATCCCAGCACCAAGAAACCACAGCTGTGGGGATCACTGGGAATAACCTAAGTGCCCCCAAACGATCACAGTAAACCTACGGGACTAAATGGCTTCCCCTGTTGAGAAAGCATGCCTCTGAGGAGCATTTGAGAGGACAGACGTGGCGTAACTGATAACGATGGAAACGGAGCTCAACTATGTGCGCAGCCTGGAGAGTGAGCACAGAGGGTCCCCGACATGAGGACTCAAGACTTTGGCCTTCACAATCAAACTATGGATTGTGGTCTCTTCCCAGCTAGCACTGTGTGCTCGGGTCCTCTCTTGACAGGGGCTGGGGACAACCAGCTGCAGCTCCCCGTCATGCAGTCGGGAGGGGACACGAGAGACACTGCCGCGTGCTGTGCTGCGAGCCAGGTGTCTGGCGGTTGGGTCTGTGAAGTCATTTCCACTCAGGATGTCTGCCCCCTGTGAGCGGCTGTCGGGACGTGGCCCACGGTACGCCAGGAGCCTCGGCAGAACACAAGGGGAGCAGACGGGCCACACCCAGGGGGGTCGCCCCTGTGTAGTGAGATCATGGCACGTGATTTCCCTGGGCTCCTCAGACCCTTAGGTGTGATCTGTCTGGAATCAGAGAAAAGCCTCGAGGAGGACCCAGCTCCCCTCCCGCCTGGAGCCACACAGCCCACGACCCCTGGCGCCTGCTCACCTCTCTCAGGGTGGTCAGCGTCCTCGTGTGCATGGTGACCTGCTTGGTGAGGTCCCTGTTGTCCTTCTCCAGCTCCTTCAGCTTGCTGGCGGCGTCCCTGCAGCGGGCCAGCTCCCTGTCCAGCGCGCGACTCTCCTTCTCAGCTGCCGACAGCTTGGCGGTGCTGTCGTCCAGGACGGCGTCCTTGAGCTCCACCTGCTGCCAGAGGCGCTTGGCCTCCTTCTCCAGCAGCTTCTTGTCCTTCTCCAGCTGGGCCACCTCCTGCTCCAGGGCCTTCCTGTCCCCCTCGGATCTCTCCAGCTGCCTGTTGGTGAGCCGCAGGGCTTCCAGGTCTCGCCGCAGGGCCTGGTGCTCGGCCTCCAGCTCGGCCAGCTCCCGCTCCAGGGCCTGCGCCTTGTGGCCGCTGCTCTCCAGGCTCTGCTGCAGCCGCAGGTTCTCGGCGCTCATGCCCTGGTAGCTAAGCTCCAGGCGCTCCGACTTCTTGCCCAAGGCCTTCAGCTGCTCCACGTTCCTGCGCAGCTCCTCCTTCTCCCGCTCCAACTGCTGGTTCTCCTCCTCCATCTGCGCCATCTTGGCGCTGGTGAAGCGCATGGTCTCCACCATCTTGCGCAGCTCCAGGTTCTCCTCGTCCAGCTGCTTATTGTCCCGCTCCAGGCCCTCGAGCCGCACGGACACATTCTGCAGGGTGTCCAGGGACTTCCTCAGCGTCTGGTTCTCCAGCTCCAGGCCCCGGCTCTGGTGCTCCAGGGCCTCCGCCTTCTCGGTGGCCATCTTCAGGGAGGCCGCCTTCCTGGCCAGCTGCTCGTTCTCCTCCTCCAGCCGGCGCAGCTCCTTCTCCAGGGCCTCTGCCCGCTGCCCTTTCTCCTTGGCCTGCTCCAGGTCCCTGTGCATCTGCTGCTTCTCCACCTCCAGCTGGCTGAGCTGGCTGTTGGCCTCCGCCACGGCCTGGTGCAGGGCTCTGTTCTCCTTCTCGACCTCCTTCCCACGGGCCTCGCTGCTGACCTGCGACCTCTCCCGCAGTGACCATACCGTTCGGTGGAGGTGGTCCTTCTCTTGCTCCAGATCCTTGATCTGCGGGAGAAACGACGGCATGAGCCAGGCTGCTGCGTGAACTACCCCAGGAAGTAGGCTCAACCAGGGGCCCGCGAAGCCAAAGCCTTGGGCCATCCCACTGGTGAAGGCCACCTTCCCTCCACTTCTGACCTCCATGAGATGCTGAAACTGAAACACCCGACAGCCCAGCCTCCCCTGTAGCCCAGGAGCCAAGTGGCCACTGCGCTGTCCACACAGGGCCCTGGGGAGGCTTCCTTTGCCTCTCTGCCCTCCCCCTTCCTACTGCAAGGACCCTGGGGATACTCTGCTGCCACAAAAAAGAGACTCAGTGCTGATGGCATCATGGAACCACTGCAGTCGCCCTGGACGGCATATCCTGGACTTCCAGTGTATGCCAAGGTCTTCCGCCATGACATGGACACTGAAGCCGGGCCATCTTTTCTCCTGGGGAGCTGCCCAGCCTCCTCCCAGGACACGCTGGGAGCACCAGCCTCTCCTCCCCAGCTTCTCTGCAGACCCTCCCCTTGGAGGCCGAACCCACCCCACCCCCACTGCCCAGATAAGACTCCTGGTTCACGCTGCTGCTGAGCCGTGTTACTAACAGCTCTTGGATCTGGGAACACTGTACACGCCGCAGTCCTCGGTGCCCTCCTGCAGTCAGGACACCAGGAGAGAGGGACAGCGCAGTGCCTACCTGCCGGGCCTTGTCAGCCTTCAGGGCCTCCATGTCGCTCTGCAGCTGCTCCTTCTCTCGGATCAGCTCCTCGCTGAGGGTCTCCAAGTCTTGGTTGCTCTGCTTCTCTCTCTCCAGCTGGGTCTGTAACTTTTCAATCTGCAGGGCCAAAAGACCAGCTTTTACTCAGTTCTCCCCCCCACCCCCACGGGAAGTGAAGCCAGGGGTGCTCTATCCATGAGCCACATCCCCAGCCCTTTTTATTTTAGTGGATCTCACCAAGTTACTTAAGGCCTCACTAAGTTGCGACCCTCCTGCCTCAACCTCCTGAGTCACTGGGATTACAGGCGTGCACCACGACACCCTGCTAAGTTGTTTTAAAACACAACAAAAACCTCATGGCCCTGAGTGCTTAAACAAGCTTCTTTCTCAGGAGAAAAAAAAAAAACCTATCTATCTATCTATCTATCTATCTATCTATCTATCTATCTATGTTTTCACAGATATCATGCCCCAGGCCAGTCGGTAGTCCCCCCAGGGACTCTGCCAAGATGTAGCTGCCAGGAGCCAAGCAGACAGGGCTGCGTCAGGCCAGGGAACTGACCCAGGGCAGGAGGCCAGGAACCAAGAGGTGGGTGGAAGGGATCATGCTGGGTGAAGCACCCACCACTCCTTCCGGTTTGTACAAAGGAGGGGCCACAGCAGACAGGAGAGGTGAGTGCTACCTTGGGACCTGCAGGGTGGTGACCTTCACCGTCACAGGGCTAATAGGACCGCAGGGCAGGAGGCCACCTTCCTGTGCGTCAGTTCTTTTCCCCCTGGCCAACCTGCATGGCCACTCACAGACCTGTTTCCTGCGGCAGGCCCACCTGAATCTAAGAAGCCACACGTCTAGCCACCTTTCCCAGGCTACTCCGCACCAAGACTTGGCATGATATGGGGATGGCTTCTCTCTCCCACAAGGGCAGAGCGAGGCACTCGCAGCTAAAATGCTACGCAACGCAGGTGCCTTGAAGAACAGGAGGGAACCTGCAGCCAGGGGTCCCAGGAGGGTCCCTTTCATGGCAGGATGGGTGTGTGCCAAGTCCCGAGAGGTGAAGAACCAGCACGGGCAGGACTCCCGGACCTGGCTCACTGTCTGCAGCCCCTGTTCCTCCCAGTGCCCCTGCAACCTAGACAAATGACACTGCAGGACTTCGGCACAGGCCAGGACATGGCCAGACCTTAGAGATGCTGGCCCCGAGAGGGGACCACCAGCAAGAAGAGCACTCTTGGCTAAAACCTGGCTCTGGGCACCCATGGCTCATCTAGGCCTCCCACAGTGCAAGTTACATGTTCCCCGACGACAAGGCCAGTCTCCATCCGCTGCCCCAGCGAGCTCACCTTCTTGCTGAGTTGGTGGTTCTCCTTCTCCAGCTCCCCGCACTTGAGGCTGCTCTCCTCCAGCACCAGGGACGCGTCACGCAGCCCCTGGATGGTGCTCTGCAGGCTCTGGGTCTCCTTCTCCAGTTTCAGGATGCGGCTGGAGGCACACTCGTTCAGCTCGGACACCAATGACTTCCTGGAGGCTGAGGCACAAGGTTGGTCAGAGCCCTGCGCCAAGCACCCACCTCCTGCTCCTCCACCCCACCCACGAGGCACCTAGGTGTCCCTCTGCTGGCGCAGCTGAGTCTGCCTGGAGCTACCAGGGCCCTGGGAGAAAGCAGCTGGCAGCAGAGGGGCCAACGCACAAGCTCAAGGCTGTAAAACTTGGGCTCAGGGTGCAGCCGGGGGCAGAGCACCCGCCCAGGACACAAATGCCCTGGGTTGAACCCCCAGAACCACAGAAAACGGGACTCCAACTTACAGAAATCGCTTGTTTAACCAGCCTGAGGACAGGGTGTGCAGGTACCTCAGCAGGGAGGGCACCAGGTGAGCGGGTCGGTCTGTCCAGGATAGTGAAAAGCTGTGCCCTACAGCTTTTCACTATCCTGGACAGCACCAACCAGCCCAGTGAGAGCCTTATCTCAGAGATCTCTTTTTGTGATTTCATGCTCATCATATTGAAGAAAAGTGAAATGATTTATGCAAATTGCTTTAAAAATTCTGAGATTATCTGTTGACCCTTCCTCAGAGCATCTCAGATGCAAGCTGTAGGAGGGGGCCCAGTTCCAAGAGTCAGGAATGGGGGTCCTCAGCCCACTCCTGCTGTGAGCAGTGCAGGACTTCAGGTAAGTCAGAGGCTTTACGGGCATGAGGGCCCCAGAGGGAGGGGGTGAGGCTGCTCCACGCCTGTCTGCCCCCCATCGCCTAGAGCCCCAGCATGCTCTGGCTCACAAGGCCATCTCCACCCAAGCCCTTGCTCCCCACCCATCACCCCAGAGGATGTGGGCTGCAGAGGGGGGGCTTTCACAGCTGAACCCCAGTCTACAAAATGATGTGCGTGTTCGGGTCCTCTGGGCAACTGTAAGGACTGACAGGTGTCTGTTTCCCTCCGTGTACTTCCATCCTCTCCAAGGCTAAAGGACAGATCCTACAGGCCAGACCGTCCTTAAGACCTGAACCAGCAACAGGCTGCAGTGGAGGAGGTGGCAGAGGTGGGGGAGGTGGTGGGGCACATCCCACTCCTGGTGCCCCCCACAGGCACGGTGCCTGGAGGGCTACAAAAGAAACTAGCCTAATCTAAAATACCTAAGTTAAAACTCCACTAATTCCAAACTTATGATTCCAACGGTACCTCCGTAGCATTGTGGGGGGGAAAATGTGATGAAATACATCACTTTACCATTTTAGCCTTTTTATTTATTTAAAAAAAATTTTTTTTAATGTACCAGGGATTGAACTCAGGGGCACTAAACCACTGAGCCACATCCCCAGCCCTTTTTAATATTTTATTTAGAGACAGGGTCTCACCGAGTTGCTTGGGGCCTCGCTGAGTTTCTGAGACTGGCTTTGAACTCATGATCCTCCTGCCTCTGCCTCCCAAGCCACTGGAATCACAGGTATATTCCACAGCACCTGGCTCCGATTTAGGCCTCCTTAAGTGAACAGTGGCGTGGCACTGGGACAATTCACATGTTGCTGCCACTTGGTTCTCATCTTTCCAAACCAAAACTCAAAGCATAGAGGATAGTGTTTAGGGTTCTACAAACAACAAGCAGTGCATCACTAAGACAAGCAATGGCTCTCTACCAAGCCCCCGCTCTTCAGCACGCCTAGAAACCAGGGCAGTTGGGCACTAAGACAGCGGCCCCCTACTGAGTGCCCCGGCCAGACCAGGGATGGAGCCTCACCTTCTCATCTCATTTATAATTACAGGGCCCTGTGGGCAGGTTCATTGTCCCATGGCCCACAGAAGTCAGGTACTTGCCCCAGATCATCAGCTAACAAATGGAGGAGCCAGGACGTTAAGCCAGGTCCTTCTCACTCGGAAGCCACTATTCCATATACCCAAAAATATGTTCAGAGGTGGTGCAGGCCTGTAATCCCAGCAGCATGGGAGGTTGAGGCGGGAGGATGGTGAGTTCAAAGCCAGCCTCAGCAAAAGTGAAGCACTAAGCAATTCAGTGACACCCTGTCTCTAAATAAAATACAAAATAGGGCTGGGAAAGTGGGTCACTGGCTGAGTGCCCCGAGTTCAATCCTGGGTAGCAGGAAAAGGAAGAAAAAAAAAAAAAAAAGCTTAAATATTTGAAGCCAGGCACAGTGACACATGCCTACAGTCCCACTGGTGGGAGGATCACTTGAGCCCCAGGAGCTCAGGGCCACCTAGGCAACATAGCAAGATCTGGTCCCCTCATCCCTCTCTGTACTAGGGATTGAACCCAGGGGCACTTTACCACTGAGCTATATCCCAGCCCCTTTTTAATTTTTTGAGACAGGGTCTTGCTAAGTTCCTGAGATCTCAATAAGTTGCTAAGTCCGGCCTTGAACTTGTGATCCTCCTGTCTCAGCCTCTCAAGCTGCTGGGATTAGAGGAATCTACTAATGTACGTAACCAACAAGACCAACAAGTCTTTTAAAAAAAATAAATGTTTCAAAAATAACAATAAAAGGTATCTTCAGGTTTTGCTTACATTATGCAGTAATTCAGGCCAACATTGTCACTGAGAATAAATCATGGTCATTAATCTTAAAGGATTCACAAACTCCTGACTAATCTATTTATTGGTAAAGGCCCTCCACCCCACCAGCCACCCTAGTTTCAGAGTGTTAAGAGAAATGAATCAAATACCATGAATGTATGATTTTGTCAAAATGAACCCAAGGACTATATGGATAATTATAATACTCTAAAAAGAAGAAAGAGAAGAGGAGGGAGGAGGCGGGAGGGAAATAAACCCAGAGATCATCCTAGGCAGCTTGCACCACCTCTCGGCTCCATCAGGGGGCAGAAATTCCTCCAGGTGCATTTGGACTTCAGAGGCAGGGCATCTCCCAGAGCTCAATGCTCATGGCAACAGTTTAACCAGCTGATTTCAAGTTTGGAACTGACAGGGGCTCTCAAAGAAGCGAAGAAATATTCAGCTGCGTTCAATACCCTTGACAGTATTCTTAGGAATGTTTATCAGAATTTTTAAAAGCTACCACCCAAAGAAGCCAAAAGCCCTACCGTGAAGGGCTAAGTAAATATTAACTTATAATGTCAGGTGCACAGGAATGGTGAACGTGTGCTATTTTTGAACTCAGGAACTGACTTATTGTTTGCCGGGTGCTGAAGCTTCCTGCTCTAGTGCTGACTGAGGCCCCCACCCTTCCCACACCACCACGGCCATGGTCTCCAGGGGGCCAGCAGAGGGCAGCATTTCAAGCCAGGAGAGAGGAAGAGGCCAGGCAGACCAGCAGAGAACCCGGGGCTCAGGAGCAGCAGCCACTTAGCATCCCCACCCGGGAGACAGGGAACAGACTGCATCCATCTTGCCCAATTATGCAAATCAACAGAGGAAATAATGCCCAGGGTACATTTATAGTGGGGATTAGCAACCACCGGGACACTTCTGTCATCCAGGGCTTTCAGCCATCCGCAGACAGGCCTAAGATGTCCTCAGGGTATCAGCGTGCTGTAATCTGGAAGCTCCTGAGTGTCCATATGGGAAACCGAGAAACCTGGCAACACTTAATTTGTCTTTCACATCCTGACATCAAGACGGCCAGACCCCTCATGTTTTCCCCGGGGAGAACCGTAATGAAACAGTTCCAAATGGCACTTGAAGGAAATCATATTTACTTGGGGTGAATGGATGGGCTGCCTCGACTGACTGAGAGCCAAGGGCCGGCTCCCAGGCCACAGCGTTACCTACCATCCGACAGTTCTGCGTTCTTAGACAGCTGCTCCAGCTCCCAGCCCAAGTGGGCCGACTCATTCATGCTCTGCTTCTGCGCAATCTCAAGGACCATGTTCTCTTCTAGCAGCTCCTCAATCCGCTTCTTATCTGTGTCCCGGTCCTAGGGCAGGAAGAGGGAAGGAATGAGGACAGGCTTGCCGGAGCACGCTGTCTCTGGACATGAGGGGTGGGGGTTGGCATGCACCTGCTCTCCACAACAGACTGAGCTGCCTACAAATGCTCCACTGTACTGATGACAGCCACCAACCAGTATCTCGACCTGCTACCCAGGTTTTGAAGAGAGCCTGAAGGTTTCTAACTGAATGCTCTCTGAACAGAGGGAGTACTACACAGGGCTGTTAGGGACAGGTCGGTGGCTCTGGAGCAGGTCAGAGGCCTTGAGAGCTGTTAAGCGTGCACTCAAGCCCACTGAGCATAGCAAGCTATCTTCTATGGTCCTGAGTTCCTGGGGCAGTGGTAGCAAGGAACCCAGTGGTGAAAACATCAACAAAGGGCACAGCGCTCGCCCCCACCACCCCCACTAGTCTGCGCATAGCAACCACACAGCTCGCAATACCAGTTCCAGGTCGTGAAGTTTGGACTTCAGCTGCAAGTTCTCCTTCTCCAGTTCGTGGACTTTATCGCTACGGGCCCGGGCAGCGGTCAGCTGCTCCTCCAGCATGGCCTTGGTTTCAATTAGAATGATGTTGTCTTCCCGCAGCTCCTGGTGACCAAAAGCACACAGGCGCACCCTCAGAGACAGGCACAGGCTGTGGCCACAGGACTCCCAGCAGAGCTCCCTGGGCCCCTGGGCTCCTCTGTGCATCACCCTCACCTTTCCCATGAGGCGAGGACAAATGGACCTTATCTACTTTAAAAAGAAAAGAAAAAAATCAAGGCGTTAAGAAAGAAAATACTTAAATGTGGAAAGGTAACGCTTCCTTAAGGTCCTGGGCGTGGCCCAAGGGCCTTGACAGTGACAACCTAACTCTGCTGACACACCTGGGACCTCTCCGGAGGCTGGTGCTCAGAGTCTACAGGGAGAGGGGTCCCGGGTCTGGGTTCCTCTCAATTCAACATTCTTCCTGGGATCAGGGTCCTGAAGAATGGCCTCTCAGAGGAGCTTCCATTCAACACGCAGTTGCTATTTGAGTATTTTGCACACGTTCCCCTGGCAAAACAGAAGTGGCTGGCGGTTTCCTGGAGCCAGGGGGGTCTTAAAGAGAGTTCAGCGGCAGCACAGTAAACCAAGCAAGTGTGAGTCCTGCGGACACGCACAGCCCAGGGTCTCCACTGCCACCGCCACGGGAAAGCCGAACTGGCCATCGTCTCTGCCGGGCCCTGTCACAGCCTCCTTGGTTCCTCTGTCCCCTGGGCCCTTCCCAGCAACACTCAATAACGGAAGGGGGTGGGGGTTGCTGCATTTCTGTGGGGGTCCCACACAGGGACTCGTCGGGTCTCCCCGCTGGGCATGGCCTCCCCAGGCTCGTCCTGCCCACACGTTATAACAGGGGACTAGCTGCTGCTCCTCCAACACACGCTCACTTTCCTTTGTGGGCCAGAATCCAAGATTCCTGGTGAGGGGAGCCACCCGCTTCTCGGCCAGCGACACGGTTCTGATCAAAGCCTGGCAGCTGGGGAGAGCTTGTTGGTTAAGACTCTGGACTCACCTGAGTGACCTGTCCCTGCCCGCCCCCCAGAGGCCACTGTCCTGCCCCACACTCCTCACAGCAGCCCTGGGAGGGAGGGAGGGAGGGAGGGAGGGAGGGAGGGACAGTCCCTCCCTATACACAAAAGAACTCTGGTTAGCTCATCAAGGAACAAGCCCACAGTCACTGACCTAAGCTGAGGTTTGCCCTTGGCCCAGAGGGCTGCAGACCCTGGGGTTCCTCCACCTCAAGGGGCTCAGGAGGTGAGAGAGGCCGGATGTCATAAGGACACGAGCCAGAGCACATGAGGGGTTCCAGGGGGCTGCTGCCCACGGGGCTCTCACCCGTGTTCCAGCACCGTCTCCTGCCAGCACGCCCCAGCACCAGCTCTCAGGCCCCCAGTGGCCACAGAACAGCCTGCCCCATCATGACAGCCAGCTTTCAGGATGTGGCCAGAGCTGCCCCTTGGAGTGCACTTGGGAATGCACTCCGGCAGGCCTGCTGAGCCAGGAGTGCCTGGCACTCATTTCCAGGACTTTCTCTCAACCACTGTGGCCTGCCTATCCTCCTCCCCAGACTGGGAACTCTTGGAGCAAGACTGAAACTCTACTCTGCGGAGCCTCTTGCAAGTGTGCAAAACACCTGTCGGCCAAGCCACCAGAGAGGGGAACTTTGAAGGATCCGGTGATGAGGGGGACTCTGAAGGACCCAGACACCTCTAACAGCCAGGGATGGACAAAGGTGACTTGTGGAAAGGTAGCCAAGAGAACAAATCCCCCCCACATGCCTCGACTTCCTCCTGTACCTGGCAATGGAGAGGCCCACCCGCCTCAGAAGAGCAGATCTGGAAGACACTGCACCAAGCTCCCTAAGCCAGGGGCGCCCCAGGGGCTGCTGTGCAGGGGCAAGAAGGCCAGCACACCCCGCTATGGTTCTGACCACAACTAAACCAGGAGGCTACTTAGAGGCCTGACCCTGCCCAGCCAGCAGCTGAGGGGCCACATTTATGAAATCACAGGCCAGAGGGTCTATACCCAAGTGCCTTCTAATCTGCCATGGTGACTTGCAGCAGCACTCAGGCTCAGGACTCTGTGGGGCACCTCTCCCCAGCTGCCATGTCAGTCACTCCACAACCCTGTAGGTCACTGTCTAACCCAGCACTGCCCACGGAGCAGCCACCAGGGCTTCCAAGGGCTGGGGTGCAGCTCAGTGGGACAGACCTGCCTGGTGTGCACGAAGCCCTGGGTTCCACCCCAGCACCACAGAGAAAAAGGAGTTTTCCAGGGGGGTCCCAAGCTGGAGCACAGCGTCTCCTTGCCATCGCAGTGTCTTAGCGAGTTCCCTGGATTGTGACATTCCCTGCTACAACAGGCCTCGGTCCCACATTAACAGTGTGAGGCTGGCCCTTGCTGGAGTACAGCAGCAGCCCAGTGTCCCCTCGAGGGTGCCTCTGGCACACGGCTCTCTACACCCACTTTCCTTGCTCCCTGTCCCCCTTTTCTTGTGAAGGCACAGGCTCATGCTCATTCCCTGGCAGGCGGTCAAGGCCCTGAAGGCAGCCAGTCACATTCCGATCCCCGGTCCACCTGCTTAGCAACTGCGATGCTGGGCAAGTTATTAATTAAGCTTCTTTTTTCTCATCTAAAAAAGGAGAGGAACCAGTCATGGCTGCTACACCTCGCAGGGCCCAAGTGCAACACTGTAGCAGGGCTTCCCATGGCTCCTGGCTCCACCAGCAAGGTCACTACTGCTCATCGGGAAGCCTTACTGTGCACTTGCTGGGGCCAGATGTTGGGTCTTCAAAGGACCAGAGAGTAGATACTTCCAGCACTGCAAGAAGTCAGTCTATCACAACTACTCCGCCCTGCAGGGGCACCTGAGAGCAGCCAGACACAACAAACAGGAGTGGCTGTTCCAATAAAACTTTATTTGTGCCAGGCACTGTGGCAAACAGCTGTAATCCCAGGGGCTCCGGAGGCTGAGGCAGGAGGATCGTGAGTTCAAAGCCAGCCTCAGCAAAAGCGAGGCGCTAAGCAACTCAATGAGACCCTGTCTCTAAATACAATACAAAATAGGGCTGGGGATGTGGCTCAGTGGTCAAGTACCCCTGAGTTCAATCCCTGGTACAAAGAAAAAAAAATTACTTGTAAAATCAGATGGTAGAATGGACTTGACCTATGGACTGTAGTTTAGTGACCCCTGAATAGACAACATGCTGGGCCCAGAGGAATCACTGTCAATAAGGCACAGACCCCATCTTCTCTGAGTTCACAGTCTGGCTGGGAGTCAGACAAGAAAATATATCAGGACAACACCAAGTGACAAGCACCACCCAGGCTAAGAAAGGGCTCTCCCAAGGAAAAGTGAAGGAGGTGGTGGTCACGGCCTGCAGAGCTCGCCCACCTGATCAGCCCCCTCTGTGACTCCCAAGCCCTATGGGGCTGGATGAGTGAGCAGAGAGGGTGGGCAGGCCTAGCAGCTCTGTGCAAAGCCCCCGCTCCCGCAGGGCCCGTCTGGCCAGAGCTGCAGGCGAGTGCTGGGTGAGGGCGTGTGGACGGTCTCAGGGCTGCCTCTTCCCTAAGAGTCGCCTGATGAGCCGCTGTTAAAGCCACTCTGGCAGCAGGACTGAGGGATGCACCTGGCCATTCTGGATTTGCTGGGAGGTGGGAACATGGGCTCAGAGGATGGGGAATGCTAGGGCCTGGGCCAGGGTGGGAAGGGGCAACAAGGGAGCTGCCCCATGCTGGACAGTAGCTGCGTGCCAGACAGAAGATGGGAGGGTGGCAGCTAAAGGTAGGAACCGGGCATGCAGTGGGTCCTGGAGTGCAGGGGGGCGGGGGGCAGCCTACAGACTGGAGGCAGGGGACTCAAAATCAGCCAAGATTTCCTAGGCAATTTCTCCCTCTGAAGGGGACAGAGACGTCCATGAGGGCTGTGGGAACCTCATGGTGAGGGTGAGCGGGTTGCCTGCAACAGGGCAGGCCCGGAGGAAGTGGGCAGGGCTGGCCCCATCTCCCAGGCCCAGATGGGCAGGGCGGACCACACCCACAGCAGATCTTGCCAGCCCATCCCCATCCTAAGCAGGGCCACGATGCCTTAGGGGTGTGGCTTTGGCTGGGGGATCACAAACCCAGCTCCTGACTGCTGGGCCTTGTCAATGACCGCCCACTCCTCCAGCTGCCTCCTCACTGCCAGCACCTATCCAGGGGCCTTACCTTCTCTTGGGGGCTCCCTGAAGAGAGGGTGGGCTGGGAAAAGCCAACCTGCCCCTATGTCCGGGTGCCCGGGCAGGACCGCCCCACTGGCCCAGACAGACCACATTAGCTCCTTTTATACATAGGGTAAGACCTGCCCGACACCCAGCAAGTGGCTGTTTGCAGCCAGGACTGTGCCCAGGTGTGGGTCCCTGCCTCTTAGGCTGTTTATTTTGAAACGAGCACTTCCTGGAAAGCTGTCCATCCACACAGGAGCTGGGCACGACCACGTCCACTCTGCCTGGACACACTGCAGCACCTCAGCCTGTCCATGGCTTTCAGTGGAAATTTTCAGCCAATCACAAAATACGGGAAAGAGAACTTTCCAGGCAAAGTCTCTCTCTTCTGCCCTCTTCCCACGTGGCCCTATGAGGCGACCCCCTGCCAGAGGCCCTGAGCAGACTACCGTTTACTAAGGGAGGCCAAGGGCCCTCCAGTACACGTCCCACACTTCCTCCGTCAGCAGGGAGCCCTCCGCTGCTCCTCTCTGTTGCAGTTTCAACCCTTATGTAAACTACACCTGCACCTACAAGAAAGTTGCCAGAATCTAAAAACAAGCCATGCAGCTCTGTGTTCCACGTTGCTCTAACCAAAATCAACCTTGCCCAGAGCTGAGACCTGTGTCCCCTCCCTGCAGCACAAATGTGTTCTCCCTTTGGGGATCTGCAGTGCTGAGTTTCTCAGGGTCAGGATACATATGGGCCACCTGTCACCCCGATGAACCCAGAAATGTCACACATGTGGAAAGCCACACGAGACGCACGATCAGGCTCCTGGGCCTGGCCCGGCTCTACTCCCAAGGAGACAAGACCTCTCACTTCTCCCCAGACTGAAAAACTCTGTGTGTGTGTGTGTGTGTGTGTGCACGCACACACACTACTGGAGATTGAACCCAGGACCTCATGCATGCTAGGAAACCAGTCTACTACCGAGCCATAACCCCAGTCCTTTTTTTATTCTGAAACAAAGTCTTGCTAGGCATGCATTTTGAAAAGGCTGATCTTTACACACATCTTCAGAAATCTAGAGCCAAATCTTAGAGAAGGTTTAAACTGATGGATGTTTTTAACTTTCCCATTTCAAGTGAGGTAAGTTAACAGCTTATTCAAAATGGTAGATATCCACTGACAACTAAAAGAATATAAAAGAAAAAAGGGGGGGCTGAGGTGGGGGCTCAGTGGTAGCGCTCTTGCCTAGCATGTGTGAGGCACTGGGCTCAATCCTCAGCACCACATATAAATAAATAAAATAAAAGGTCTCTTGACAACTAAAAAAATATTTTAAATAAAATAGATAAATGTCCCTTGTGTCCTTTTAACTTGGATTATACCCCAGCCACCAATGTTTTATCATAAAAAAACATAAAATCTACTAAAGGGTCTAAATAACTGTATCATGCACACCTCTGCACACACCACCTAGACTCTACAACTAGCCTGCTGTATGTGCTTGGTCTCATCCTCCGTCCCTGGCTCCACCCACTTTCTCTTATTTTCTGAGTGAGCACACCTTGTACCTGGGCCTCTAATCTACAGTTATAACACCTGCAGGTCAGCCTCAGTTCAGACACATTTCTACACAGTGCTGTTCTACTCACTTAGACATTATTCTTAAGGAGTCTCAGGGTGAATTAGAACGTGCACCATTGTACTCTGAAGAAGATCTGGATTTTTCAATTAAGTTGGATACATTTGAAACACAAACAGACCCATCAGAGTCACTGTGCATTTATACAGCGCTGGCCCCTTGACTTACAGCCTTCTGAGCACTAGAGGGGCGGGCTGGCCCAGGCCACTGCTGCTGGGCAGAGATAGTCCTCTCCGTCTCCATGGGCCCAGACAGCACCTAGATCTCATGGCAAAGCAACTTGTCTCGGGGTCTCTGAGTTCCAGTCCAGCACACACCTGAGTGCTCAGGGCTCCAGGGAGCCTGTGCTCCTGTGCTAGGCCTCTGCAGGTGTCTGAGAAGCCAGGGCTCCACAGCAGGACAGCAGCCACCAGCTCTGCAAAGTGAAGCCCAATGGAACCCTTCCACAAGCATGGCCGCGGGTGCACATGGTCTGAGGCAGCTCCTGAGGCAGCTCCCGTGCTCCCCGGCCTCGTGCCAAGACACTCGGTAAGGATGGCACACCACATAATCTGGGTAGCTACAACCAGCTCCAGCCTCGTCTCCCCCCACGTTCCCAGCACCCCAGCACCCCAGGACTGGGTGACTGACCTCACGGCTGCCTTCTCCCTGCACACTGCTCCGTTTCTCCCTCATGGCTGTCCCTAGTTGATTGCCCCAGTTCAGGACCACTTCCGCCATCGCCTCCCCAGGAAAGCCTTCGGAGCCCCCAGGGGCGGGAGGTGGCCTCCTCGCCTGGCACTGACACCGTCCTAGCTGCAGGCTTCCTCGCGGAGGCAGGGAGCCCGTCTTCTCCAGAACTGTCTCCAGTCCACCGGGCCAACGTCCCTGCAGGGAGGAGGCCAAGTCCCCCCAACAGGGAGGTTTCAAGCCTGGGAGGGACCACGGAGTGTGTGTTCTAAGCCGCCTGAGCAGAGGCTGAAGACAGTCTGCAAATCTGCCTAAAGTACTCAAGGAGGAGACACCAGTGCTGCTGTCTGTCCTCACTGCCACCGGAGTCAGGAGGCCATAGGCACCCGAGAAGAGAACTCTCTCCAGGGCCCTGGACTCCGTAAGCCAGGCCCAGCTCGTCAGCTGGGAATGTCTGGGTGTCCGTAAACCCATGCATGTCGCCCCCTCCCTGGGAGCAAAGATCTCATGGACGCTATCTTCTCTGGTGAATGATAAAATGGATATAAAACTTAGCTGAACTCATAGGAAATTTTCATTATGAGAATTACTAATCAATATGAAAAAACTACTATTACTACACCGAAGCAGGAAATTTGAGAAAATGGGAAAAGGGGTCCCCACGTAAATCCCCCCGGAAGCCTAGAGGCTCCAGCTGAAGGGGCACAGCTCACCTCTAGACGCTCTGTGCCCAGGGCAGGCAGGGCAGGCTGAGGGGAGCCAGGAGGCTTGGCCAAGCCAGGAATGAATGTGGAGACCGGCCCCTAGGACCCACCACATCCAAGGGACAGAGTATGGTCATGATCCCCGGGTGTCACACTGCACTCCTGACCCTGTCTGGGGGCTGCACACAGTCCCTGACACACAGGAGCTGCCGAGGCAGGGTTTGGAAGCCGGGGCATGACGCTGCCGTCCCCCCCAGGCACATGCCTAGGCCTTAGGACCGTCTGTGCCAGGATTCGTGCCTCAGAATCAGCAGAGTCAGTGTTTCCAGACAAAGCCAGGCCGTGGCCTGTCCTTCACCCCTTGCTCAGGCCTAGTTTGCCTTTATACAGCATCCAGGAGGACCTGTCAGCAGGGCCACTGAGAGTCACCCTGCCACCCTCATTCCTCAGGGGACACACTGAGGAACAAACTACACTCAGCCTTCTCCAGTCCACCTCCATCAGCCCAGGGCCCAGGGTCAGCTGCAGCTGACCAAGCCTTCAGCACAGTGGGAGTCCCACAGCAGGGGAGGGACGCTCCCAGGCCTGTGCCCAGCCACCGCAGAAAGCCCCGGCCAACAAGTCCCTCAACAATGTGCCCACACCCTGGCCTCTCCTGGCTCATGTTTCCTCAGTGGCACAAGCTCACATAGGTAACCAGCACCTCAAAGGTGTTTTGAGGCCCTGGGACAAGCAGAAGACAAAACTCCCGTGTCTCAGAAAAGGTCGCCGAAGCCACTGCCAACATGGGGCCTCAGGGTGAGAGGTCGAAGCATCAGGGACCCTCCTGGGTCTGGGTCCCAGTTCAGCCTTAACCTCTTCACCTGTATCTACCCACAACCTCGACAGGATTTAAAACAAGGCCTTGAGCCAGGCACATGGCAAACACCTATAGCCCCAGAACTTGGGAGTTGAGAGGGGAGGGCCTCTGGCCCAGCAGTCCCGGCTAGCCTGCCAATACCACGGACAAAATCAAAAACGTAAACTCACATCAAGTCAGGTTAAGAAGCCCTGGCACAGCTGCCCCACTGGGGGTGCACCATGAGTGAGGGCTCAGGGACCCCCCACTTCCTTGACCTCAGTGGCACCACTACCCCTGTTCATAGGTGAGGAAACCAAGTCTCAGAAAGTCGCCCAGAGACAGCCAAGTCTCGGCAGTGGGGAACACACAAGCAGAAGGTCATTGTTGTGGCCTGAAATGGGAGAAGGGCACCCCTAAAGGGACCAGTGTCCTTGTCAACTATGTCCCTTCCTACACCCTTGACAGTCAGGAGAGGCACAAGGAGGCCCTCAGGAGGACAGGCTGAGGTATGGGGCAGCGTCCACCATGGCAGTCTCTGGCTCCCACCCCCGACTCCTCACAGGACGGCCAGTCTGAAGGTGCTTCAGCGGGCCTGTCCAGGGGCAGCGCCCACCTCCATGCGAGCCTTGTAGAAGTCCACGTCATGCAGCTTCTCCTTGCAGCGGACCAGCTCCATCTCCAGCCTCTCCACGCGGTTCGCCTTCTCCCTCAGCGAGTCCAGCTCGTCCCGGTAGGCACGGGCAGACCGGGCGTCGGCCGCCAGCTGGACATTCTGCAAGGAGCACAAGGGCAGGGAGCCAGCTCAGGGTCACCCCCGGACAGGGAAGGGCCAAGTCCCTAAAACGTGGCATGTCAGGAACCCTCCAGGTCCCATGGCAGGGTACCCCAGCCCCGTCCACCCAGGACACACGGCCCAGGCCTTCCGCTCACCTCCTGCTTGACCTTCTGCAGCTCCAGCACCAGCTGATCCACCTCATGCCTGGTGTCCACAAGCTGCTCTGTCTTCTCCTCACTGAAGGGGCAGGAGAGGGAGGAGGAGTGTGGGGAAGGGTCTTCCATGGCAGGCCCTGGGGACAGGCTACCACTTCCCAAGACCACGGCAAGAAAACGAGGTGACCCGGACTTCTGGGTGTGGGAAGGGGATCCATCTGCCTATGGGGTCTGCAAAAACGTCCCTGGGTAAAACGGATCTTCTCTTCCAAAGTCTGTAACGCTTGCCCTCGAATTATATCCAGCCCACAGGGTTCCCTGTGAGCATGCAGGACAGGAAAGGAGACCCCAGCCACAGCTGTAGGAGTCCACGAGTGGGCTGTGTGGGGACAGGATGGGAAGGTAGCTCCCTAGACGATGGGTAAATGACATTCATCAGGTGCAGGAAATGGGGAGAACAGGCTTTCCAGATGCAGTTGGGGCCACCATGCGAGGCTCCCCATTGTCACTCCCTCCAAGGAAACACACCTACATGATCATCCTGATCCCAACTAGGCCTGGGGACAGCAGTCTACTTCTGACCATCAGTAACCCTTGGGTGGACAGGAGCCACCAGACCAGGAAGAAGTCCCCCTCCCTATGGGGCTCACAGAGGGCAGATGCTGGGTCCTGGAGTCAGAGAGCAAACCAGAGTGGCCCCCACCAGCCCCAGGGTCACACAGAGCTCTCCGACTCACAGCTCCTGCCTGACACGACGCAGTCGGGCCTTGGTGTCGGCCAGCTCCACAGCCAGGTGCTGCTTGTCCTCACTGGAGAGGCTGCTGGTGGGGCTGGGCGTGGAGTCGGCGCTGGAGGACTTGGCGGGGCTGGGCGGGTGCTGCGCCTGGAGGTAGTCCCGCTCCTGCGTCAGGTCCACGATCAGCTGCAAGGGGAGAGGGCAGACGGAAGGGACGAGTGGCAGCGCACCCGGGGCCCAGCACACTGCCCAGGCTCAGAGTGGGTAGAAAAACCACCCTGAGAAGAGAAGCCTTCAGCTGAGACTGCAAAACCAAGAGGCGGGCGCTGAGAGGACAGTGCAAGTCTTCCAACAGAGCTTAAGTATTTAGTGGGACAGAGAGGAGGGAAGGAGGGTCTGAGTGGAGCAGGGACCCCAAGCTGGGCCTCCTGGTCGGCTTCTGCCCACTCTGTCCCTCTCATCATTCACTGCAGGGGCATCACCAGGAAAAAGTGGGCATCACCCATGTCCCACCCCCAGCAGATCCAGCCAGCAGGACAGGGAGGTGTCCAGCCCTAGATGGAGGAGGAAGGCCAGCCTGAGCCCATCGCAGGCCGAGCTGTCCCGACAGGCGGACGCACCTCGGTGCTCTCGTGGCGCTCGTCGATGAGCCTGCGCAGGTGGAACACCATGCTCCTGGACAGCGCCTCCAGCTCCTCAGGGGCCACATCGGGCAGCTCCAGCCACTGCAGGTCGAACACGTTCTCCTGGTTGTGGGTCACCTGCGGGCACACATGTCCAGCACTGCAGAGGCCAGCTCAGGTAGCCCTGGGGTTCCTGAGCTCCTGCCTGCCCGCGGCCACAGAGTGGACGGCACAGGAGACAGGAGGCTGCTTCACTCCCGCGTTATCAGCCCCTGTGGCGTGGAGAGCAGGGCTCCTTCAGCAAGGCTGGGCCAAGTCATCAGAGGAGCCCGCCACGCACACCACTCTGCTTTCAGCCTTTTCAAATACCAGAAAGAACCCCTTACAACTGTCCCCCCAGAAGGTCCTGGGATAACAGGATGCTTGCACTGAGGCGAATATCTAGGTACAATGCAGGCAGGCCTCCGGGGGGGGAGGATGAGGAAGGGGACTTTAGTTCTTTCCCAAAGTCAAGTCTAGTGCAAACCTAGCCAATGTCAAGTCTCCCCCACCAGCATGGGGGGCCCAGGCCACCGTGGGTTACTCTATTCAAAATCTAAAGCGATTCTGAGGAGGGCTGTATCTCAGCCCACAGCCACAGAAGGCCAGCGGGCTCCAGGCCTCTCCATCAGCAGAGAGCGGGATCTGGTTGGACCCATCCTCTCATTTTTGGAAGAACATCATTACATTTCTCAGACCTCAGAAAAGGGAAACAAAAGGGCATCCATCCTCTCAGTGAATCGCTCCAGGAAGGTTCTGAAGTTATTCAGAGCAGTAAAAATGCCAGAGAACAGCTTTACACACAAACACACACACACACACACACACACACACACACACACACACACACACACAGCAAAAACAAGGCCCTGTCTAGGGCCCTTCAGTTCCTCCAAGGACAACACCGGCTTTCCTCTCTCCCCAGCTCATGAAGGACAAGCCTGGACAGAGCTGATCTCTGAATCAGAAATCTCGCCCCATCACCCGGACGGGGGCTGGGATTCAGAGGCCAGGTGCTGAGCTGCTCCATTCCCAGGGCTGGGAAAACCCTCGGGCTCAGGGGCTCTGGGGCTGGGCTCCAGGACTCGATGCCAGCAACACAGCGTCACCAGCAGAGCTTTGAATTAAAGGCTCATCTCTCCCAATTCTGACAAGCAGATCCCTCATGGGTCCTGGGCACCTGAATTTTTTTTTAAGTACCAATAAATTCTGAAGCCAGTGGCCAGGGCCAGCCATTAACTGGTCATCACACAGCCTCTCCTGGATGTGTGCGTTCGTGTCCTATGGTCCAGGCACAGAAGGCATCGAGTGGTAAAGACTGACGAGCCTCAGGGAGCTCGTTCCTGGGCAGGTACAGTTTCAAAGCACACAAGGGGAAGGAGAGGGAGAACAGTCCACAGGCTGACAGGTGGCCAGCAAGGGCCGCCACTGTTCACTGAAGTACTGACTTTCCTCTGGTGGTGCTGGACGCCGGTCCACCATGAGCCACATCTGTCTCCTGCTTCAAACCCTGATTCAGAAGCCACTTCCCAGCAACACCCTGGCCCCACTGCTTCTGTCCACCCCGGGAGCTGTGGCTCAGCCGCCTCTGCCATCTCACCCCAGCTCCCTGGAGCCTGAGTGCTAAGCCCCATCGAGACACCTGACCCTAAGTGTGGGCACCTGCCTCACCAAGAAGACACCGACAGGAGGGCAGAGGGTGAGGGGCTGTAACCCGCGGTGCTGGGGGGGACCCCAACCCCACCACCGCGTGGCAGCCGTCTATTTCTCTGCGTGTCATTGACGGCAGCGGAGAATCTCTATAAAGATCAACCGTTCAGAGCAGGGTGACATTTGCCAGAATACATTTTCAGGGCCTGTAAATCAAATTCTGAGCCTAAACCACTTGACAGCCTTTAAAAATAGTCTGAGTCCATATAAGGCAAGAAGACGGCAGAAAGACTTGATGGAGGTGGCTTTTTTTAATTTTTATTTTTACTCCTATTTTATTTGGGCTTGCTGATGGCTACCTTTCCAAATAGAATCAATTTGACTATGGCGCCTGAAACCTAAAATTAGCAGAAAACATCTATGGGTGAGGTAGCCTTTAAACATTGCCACCATGCAGAGAAGTGACGCTGCCCGGGGAGTGGCCGCCTACCTCCTGGATGTGGGCCACAATGCCCGCCTGGGTCTCGATGTCCAGCTGCTTGATTCTCTCAATGAACTCCTCCTTCCTCTCACACTGTGAAGGGTGGTGGACATTAACAGAAGCATGTTTTTGAGCGAGGGCACACCCAGGGCCGCATCTATAGCCACAGTCAGTTTCAAGTGAACCGCCCACCCCAGCCTGGCTGTCTCCTACAGAAGGCCACCTTGTCCTCTTGCCCACCCTGGGTTGAGGTTTCTCTGAAAATGACTCAAGAGCTTGTTTTCAAAAGCCCATCCCCAAAAGCCCCTCCCTGATGGAAAACACTGGGTGGGACTCAGAAATCCATGCTTCAAACAAGACCTCGACACCTAGAGATTCTTCAGGAGGACGGGAACAGCAGGCTTGGGGCCAGAGGCACACCCTCTCTGTGAAGAGCCTGCACAGTCAGAGTTTTAGACTTGTCACTGGGTCTGCGCCATGGCTGCTGAGCTGGGCCACTGCTGTACAAAGGCAGCCAGAGGTGACAGCCCTGGACAGGCCACGGCCGGACAGGCCACGGCTGTGTTCCAGTAAACTTTTTACGAAAACAGGCGGTAGGTCCAATCTGGCCCAGAGCTGGGCAGTCCACAGCTCCCTGCCCCAGATGTTCCTTTACTGGGGACAAGTTTCTAGTGGCACCTTGGCTGCAGGGGTCCTCACCAGGCCTCCTCCCCAAGGTACCTGGTACTAGAAATAGCTGCCACCTAAGACGTGGCCATTCTCTCCCGGGAACCCGGAGGCCTCTATCACACTGGACTGAAGGCGGTGTCACCCCACCTGACCGAAGAGCGCACCTTGTCCCCACAAATCCAAACCCCGATGGCTGAGGCCCCTGCCCGTGCCGGCCACGCCCTACCTGGACGGCGCAGCCCAGCAGCAGCAGCAGCGCCTTCTTCATCTCCTCCATGCTCTTCCCTGCACAGAAGAACGAGAGTCGATCAGATCAGCCCCACGAACCTCCCAGTGGGACCCAGGGACTGCCCACTCTCCGTCTCTCTCTTTTTTAGAAATTCATAGATCTTTACTTTATTCACTTATTTATCTGAGGTGCTGAGAATCGAACCCGGTGCCTCACACATGCCAGGCGAGTGCTCGGCCACTGACCCCAGCCCAGCCCCGAGCTCCGCCTCTTTTCTACAGATGAATTTAGACTTTACCAGGTGAGAATTCTGTGTGTGACACTTGAGGCCCCTTCCCACTCACACACCACGGACCTCCCCGCGCGGTAACTACTGAACGTCGGCATCAGCATCGACTTGCAGTGTGTGAGCTGATGAAGCACGGCAGGAGAGGACAGTTCCCACGGGAAGGAGGCCAGGGTGCACAGCCCACCCTTCGTTAACAGGCAGGGAGGACAGCTGAGCCTGGGTGTGCTGTCCCCATGATCCACACCTAACTCCACCTCGGTCCCCCGCCCTCTTCCGAGTGCCACCGTCTGGTGGAGTGGGCTAAAGCACACCGACAGCACACGCCCTTGTTAACAGGAGGCTGCCGACTGCACGCACAAAGGCCCCAGACATGCCAGCCAGCTCCTGCCAGAGGTCCCGTTCCTTGACACTACCAAGAACGTCCGAGTGGCTGACTCTTCACGCACCGAGTGTCCTCCCACTTTCCTAGCCTTGACCAACGCTTCACACTCTGCCTCGACTTTCCAGTCCACAGCCACAAGTACGTCACTATTTCAAACTGTGTCGCTTTGTGCTCAGAAGCCAACCGTGTCCTAGTCTGCTCCATCCCCAAGCAGTGGGAACACAGGCTCTACGACACCTCGGTCCCTCAGGAGTGCTGTGACCTGGACAGTCTGCGTCCTGACTCTGAGCCTCTGCTGCCATATAACTATCAAGGAGGCAGCTGGCCTGGTGACGAGCAGGGTTCCCTTTCAGGTTTTAAAAAAAAAAAAAAAATCAAACTGGGGATCTTCTGTCTTTCATCATATCCTGTTGCATGTGGGTAAGAGGGACCTGCCAAAAATAGCGTTCTCTCAAAGACCCACGACACCCACTCGCACTGTGCCAGGATGGCCCACAGCACCAACCAGAGACTGCTGGGGAGGAAGCCAAGGCCCTGTCCGGGGGGTTCCAAGGAGTGGAGTCTCCTGCGACCCCCGCCTAGACCCCCTCCACGGAGACCCAGCTATAAACGGCTTCTCCTCCAATACTAGTGTCCGGCTCATCTCAGAACTGGGAGCCGGTAGTTCACAGCCACCCAGGGCCGCAGGGTGTGTCTGTCTGTCTGTCTGTCTGTCTCTCTCCATGCAGTGTTCTACTTGGCCCAAGAGGCTCTGCTCCACAGACCACATTCGTCACCGTGGCTCCCTTCTTGGTCAACACCGGGGACTGGCTGGCTGCTTCCTCTCAGCTTTGGTAACAAAAAAGGGGCCTCGCCCACCCAGCGTATGGCGCAACTCAGGCTGCCCATCGGGCCACAGGTCACTGGCAGGTGTCCCCCCCACCCCAGCGCCCTGGGTGGACAAAGCATAGATCCTTCGCAGACCTCATGGCTCAGCCTCCTGCAGGCCGCTCCTGGGCCATGACCACAGTGTGGAGCGCAGGGGAAAGCACCATCAGGCTGCGGAGCTGCCCAGGCACAAGCCAGAGTCGGTGCAGAAATCTACCTTCACTATTCACAGCAAAAGCCCCAAGGACCCAAAGGTGCCACCCTCAGAATAAGTCAGCTCCAGAGATCCCCACCCAGGGCCAAAGCGGGTGAACAGCAAACGGAGGCAAGGGGACCTGGTCAGCAGGTGGGAGGCCAGAGGAGGTGTGTGTGCTGGCATCCGCTCACACGGGGAGCTGCAGGGACAGCAGCATGTCACACACTCAGAAGGGCTCCAGGAGAGGGTTCTCCATTTCCCCATGTTCTTATCACAGAGAAACAGTGAGGGTGGCAGGTGGGGGTACCTAAGCCCCAGAGGAGACTGACACTCAGTGGAGGAACCAGGAACCACCAACATGTAGCCTGCACCCCACAGACTGCCGCTGCCCTCTGGCCATTAGAAATGAACGGATGAAATAATGGATGAGGGAACGGTGCGGGCAAGGCCAGAACCCGCCCCACACCAGGGGAGCCTGGAGACTACACTGAGGCTGCTCGGAGAGGAGCTGCAGCTGCGCCCTAAGCCACCCTTCATCCAGCCACCAAGCCTCAAGAAAAGGAAATCTGACCCAGAGCACTAGCCACAAAGTACAGATTCCTGTCTGCTAAGCTTTCAAACAGGGGAGGAAAGGTTTCAAAGGCAGAGAACCAAGTTTAGAAAAAACCTTCATGCAAAAAAAATTTGACCTGTTGGTAATAAACGGGCACCAAGAAATCCACTGGGCCTCGCTGGGTGAGGCAGGGCCTCCCTGACTCCCTCCAGGCTGAGCAAAAAGAACAGCCCTCGAGGGAAGAGTGGGGAAGGGAACTAGACGTCCCCTCCTTGCTCATGCGCAGCTCCTACTGAGTGCTCTCAGGATTCTAGGAGTCAGACGGGCTGCTTCAAAAATTAACCCAACTGTGGGTTTTGAATACTTCCAAAACACACCAGAAGACTCTCCCGGGTCCCAGTCGAGCAGACCAAGAACCAACAGCTCCCTGCCAAGCACCTGCTAAGGACTGGCTCTGACCACTCAGCCATCAACAGTCCCGAGCACAGTCGGATGTGGGGACAGACAAGCAAACCAGCAGCTTCAAAACGCTGAGGGATGTCACAGAGCCCAGGAGAAGGGCTTCCAGTGTGGGGTGGGGTCAGACAAGGCTTCCTGGAGGAAACAACTAAGCCGGGCCCCAGGAGGAGGAGGACAGATGGACGTGGAGGAGAGGTGAGGCACAGGAAAGGGCTGGGCAAAGGCCCAGCGGTGAGTGAGCTCCGTGGTTCTCGGGTGATCACGCCTTGGGGGCGGCTTGCTGGAGAGGTTTTCAGGGCGAGAAGGGGGGGGGCATGAAGCTCTGTGGATTTCCGTGCTGGTGAGTCACAAGCAACCCCTGCGGGCAGGAGGGCACCCAGAAACATCAGACACCCCCATCAGCCCAGGAATGCACTCTGTTGAGTGTGGGGGAACCCCAGGGGGGTCCCAGCCAGCCTGAGTCAATGGCCGAGTCTAAGAAAGACCTTACTTACCTACTACCTGCCCCTGGGAGCCTGACAGAGAAATGAAGCCCAGCCCTTCTCCAGGCTCAGAACCCAGAACAGCTGACCTAAGCCGTGTGCAAAGCCACCAGAAGGGAGACACCACACACAGAGTATGGTGGACGTGGGGACAGAAATGTCGTCCACTGTCCTCTGAACTGGGAGCCTGGATTCCATCAGGGAGGAACTGAGCAGCTGGACCTCCTGATGCTGGGCCGCGGCAGCTGTGGGTGGTCAGCCCACCACTCAGCGCGGAACTCGCCTCCGCTGCCAAGCAGCAGACATCAGCACACGACACAAAACCTTCCCTCCGTGACAGGTGTATGGTCTCTAGGGTCCCTTCTGGCTCTGCTCTTTGGTTCTCCTAGATGGAGCCATTTAAATGTTGGGGACACACTTCCTGGTTTCTGGAAACAGAAAATAAATCCCGTCACCTATAAATGATGCCTGAGGGATGCAGCCAGGGACTTAGGTGAAGGCAGGCAAGCTCTGCCTGGCTGAGGGGTCAGAGAACTGCCGTGAAGCGGCGTCCGAGATTGCTGACACGGCCCTCCACAACCACAGCGCCTCGGCCCCGCCAAGGCAAGCTGCCCTCCTGTGGACCCTGCTCCTGCAGATGTTGTTCCCAGAGCCACCCCGAAAGGAGAGCGTTATCATCTCCATCTCACCCACAAGAAGAGTCAGACTCCAAGACTGAGCACAGAACTGAGACTTAGCTCTGCCACCAACCCCACTTCCCTGCCATCCCCCCACCCAAAATGTGCAGGTTATTTCACCAACATCTGCCGCCTGACCTCGAGCACCTGGAGGTCAAAAAAGAGGAGGCTCGGTCTCCTCTCGTTGGGAGGCAGATTCAGATGCAGACATGCTTCTTATAATCGTGCATCCCGCTCTCCCCAGACTGCACCCTCAGGTGGACCCCAACTCTGGTTCCCCTGGTTTTCTATTTAAAAACCAGTCATTCCCTCAGCACGGCGCTGGGGCTGTCCCGGTGATTTGAGAGCAGCCGTCTGAATACGACTCCATTTCCTCCCAGAGTGCAGCGTATCCGGGACTCACCCAGGTGCAGCTCTGCAGGTCCTCCTGGGCACAACCCCACAGGGCGGTTTACCATCTCAACAGGGTCGCCTCCCGCGGCAACTGCCAGGGACAAAGTTTCTCACATGGGGCACAGGGACCCTCCATCCTCTGTGCCCATCTGGGGGCAGGAGAAACCTGAGAAACCCTCAGCCATCGTTCTCGGCCCAGAATGTTGCGCAGGTGGCTTTAGCCAGGCAGCAATGTAACCAGGCGCCCCCACTTGTCCCTTCAGTCATTCAACAAATGTGCATCTACCGTGGACTTTTACAGGTGTGGAGCCACCGGTCCGTGTGACACGGTGCTGGGGTCTCCCCACCCTGACCTGTGACCCCATCCCAGTGTCTGTCACCCATGTCAAGTCTGTCCCACCCCTACAGTTCCCCCAGTACCTCCACCATGACAGAGGACAGCTGCCCCCCTGCTTGGGTAGAGAATCTAAGCTACATCACTACGAAACCGACTCCCCTGCCCACCGGCCTGCGGGCTGCAGGAGTGGAGAGCAGACGTGTCTGCTGGCACCGAACTGAAGAGGAGGGAACAGAAGCATCAACCGCAGACCAAGCTTGAGGCCGAGTTCGCCCTGTGGAGGTGAGGTGTCGGGCGGCAGGAGACCTCAGAGCAAGGGTCCCTCCCAGCACCTGGCAAAGACCTCCAAGCCCAAACCCCAGGGGTGAACACAAAGACCTTTGGCAAACACCGTCTCTTCCCTCCTCCTCCTCCTCCTCGA